GACAAGTACCAAGGGATTGCTGGATTATTGTGGTCATAGAAACAAGAAGATGCCTACTATGAGGTATATAAACACACTCAGACATCATCTTTTCCTTCTTCCAAGTCTAAAGGGATTTAGTTTTTATTTTATTTATTTGGTTAGTTAGTTACATTAAAATTTTTTGTGTGTATACCTGGCATGAGGTGGTGGGGAGTACGTGCCATGGCGCACACGTGAAGGTCAGAGGACAACACTGTGGAGCATGCTCTCCCCTTCTACCTTTATTTATTAACTTATTTATTTGAGGCAAGGTCTCATGTAGCCCAGGTAGGCCTTGAACTTGCTGTGTAATAAAGGATACACTTGAACTTAATTTTCCTGCCTCCACCTCCAGAATGCTAGGATTACAGGCATGCACAGTGACCCATTTGTGTGGTGGTGGGGTTAAAATTAGGGCTTTGGGTATGCTAGGCAAGCACTGTACCAACTGAGCTACATCCTCAGTCCCCAAAGCGTGTGTGTGTGTGTGTGTGTGTGTGTGTGTGTGTGTGTGTGTGTACATTTTATATATAGCACATCACATTTTTGGGTGGGTCATTCATCTCACCCTGTTAGTCACCAGAACACCCTCTGTCCTGGGAGATTGGCGTCCTCACACAAGTCTGTTCCTCAGGGAATGAAGGGAACTGCTCCTTCGGATGGCACTACTAGAGAGGTGGCCTGAGGGAGGCACTGAGATACATTTTCTCACAGAAATAGTAGAAATAGTGCTAATTCTATAAAAAGAGTTTAGGGAGCCTCATGTCTTAACCCCCCAAAATTACTTAAGAGGAAATGAAAGCTTTTGCACTTTTAATACCCAGCACTGGGGTGAGGAAACGAGAGGACAAGGCGGGTGGTGGTGGTGGTTGTACTTCTGCAAAGGGGGCAGCCAGAACGAAAGGATTTCCTATTCCCAGAGAAAGAAATGCTCCCTGACTTCCACCTAAGGGTTCTCCTGGACTGGGTCCTTCTATGGCATCTTGGCCTTGACCAACAGCCTAGGGACAAGTGAGTAAGACCTTGTGGACAAATGTATTGTGGCCTTTTCACTTCCCAAGGTGGCTTCTACCTCCTCAAACTCGAGTTCAGGGACCAACCCTGTCTGGTTGCATCCCTACCAGAAGGAAAAAGGGGCCACATACAGAGAATGGGCTGTAGCGAGTGCCTGAGTGGGCTGTAGCGAGTGTCTGAGTGGGGGTGTAGCGAGTGCCTGAGTGGGCTGTAGCGAGTGCCTGAGTGGGCTGCAGCGAGTGTCTGAGTGGGCTGTAGCGAGTGTCTGAGTGGGGTGTAGAGAGTGTCTGAGTGGGGTGTAGCGAGTGTCTGAGTGGGGTGTAGGGAGTGTCTGAGTGGGGTGTAGCGAGTGCCTGAGTGGGCTGCAGCGAGTGCCTGAGTGGGCTGCAGCGAGTGCCTGAGTGGACTGCAGCGAGTGCCTGAGTGGGGTGTAGCGAGTGCCTGAGTGGGCTGCAGCGAGTGTCTGAGTGGGCTGTAGCGAGTGCCTGAGTGGGCTGCAGCGAGTGCCTGAATGACCCGTTTTCCTTCATTCTCCAATAAACAGAAATCTTTCATTGCCAGGCTCGCCCCCTGCTGGTCGGTGCGTCACAGCATTGTTCAGGAAATTCTCTTGAGGATCAATCTGAAAGTTCCCCAAGTTTATGAAACTGAAAAAGAATATTCTAGAATGAACATAACATTGACTAATAGAAGTCTATATCAAATCTTTTCAGCTATGCAACTTTTAATTGAATATGAAGGAGAGACCCTTCACTGAGAAAAATAATAACAATAGAAAGATGAATTTTAAAATTTAAAAGTAACCATTTGGGTTATTTCAGATTATTTACAAAAATAAATCTGTAAACAAAATGAATGAATGAGGGACACAGAGACAGAGAGAGGCTGAGACTGATTGGTACTCCATAAAACCTAAATAAAAGGAACCACTTAAAAACGAACATTTCACAAGCCTGGAATGAAGGCCAGAGTGGTAGCTTCTAATTTCACAGGTGTGTGCATCATGGACTCTTGTGCAGAGCAGTGCAATGGCATGCGTGTGCCAGTACCGCATCACACCCAATGGTGGTGTTTCCAGTACATTCAGGCCCAGACCTTTCCTCCCATGACTGGTCACATACTTGTGTGTGTTCTGTCTAGACATTCTTGTCATAATTGGGAAACACTTTCATCAGATCTAAACAAATTAACCTTAACTTAACCCAGAAACTCTCCTCACTAGTTACGGTGGATCCTAAGCCTGGAAAACACATTACAATAAGAAGCCACAACCTCTACAACTAGGCATGAACTAGACTAAGTCACTGTGGAGTGCAGGCCTGGGGTGCGAGCCTTGCTGAGGCTCTGGGTTCAGAGCCCAGCTCCAGAGCAGCAAGGCAGGAACGGGGGGGGGGGGGGGGGGGGGGGATGGTTCTCACTTTGGTTTACAAACAAACGAGAACTGAATTTTCCCCATTTCAAATAAATGGCTTAGCGCTTAAGGTGCAGTGGGCCGAGGAGAGGAACTTGGCTGACACTTTTCAGAACTTGCTTGTTTTTGGATGGAAACTGCAGCAGTTGAACAAACCCATGGGAATTCACCATCCACACCAAGGGGCTAGAAGAATTTACAAACCTCTATGCAGTAACAACTATTCTCTTTTGCTATTCAGCAGAGCTCACATGGTGTCTCCGGGACCTTAATTGCAAATGAAAATAACCAGAATGATCAAAGTTAGAATGCTTGTTTCCTAGGGCTTCTGTGTCCAGATGTAAGTGATGTAACTTAGAGCAGGTCTGAGGGCTCCTCTGCTTTGGAGGGCAGATGTTCAGAGGAGCAGGGCATGCTGATCAGGCTGAATAGTCTGACAGTCACTGATGCTCCTTGCCTTGTGCTGTGATCCCTCCATCTCTCCCCTATCAAGACATGCCATCCTTCCCGTGTAGACCCTTTGCTCCTATTTCTAAAAGGTCATTGGTCATACTATCCAAGGTTCCATCCTAATAACCATGTCTTAACTCGATGTCACCAATACCAACCCTATTTCCCCAGGGCAGCCACTTCAACATCTTTTGAGGTGACATTTCTACCAGGAGTATGCCTCTAATGGGGTGCCTAAGGGAGTTCAAAGGTCAGACACACTCCTTTCCGACATGATCTGGCCAAGCCTCCCGGGCCTTCAGCTTTCCCTTCTCATAGCTGCATTAACTTCTGGTGGCTTTCTTGGTTTCTTTGTTCTTCTTGGTTTTCCTTTGGCAGAGCAGGGGATCAAACTCAGGGCCTCTCACATGCCAGGCAAGAGCTCTACCACTGAGCTGTGTCTGAACAGGTTTCTTAGCATCTTTTGCCCCACACTCTGTTCCTTTCTCTAACACATGCCCAACCTTCCATTTGGGCCGTTCCTATCAGTTCTTTAGGCTTCAGCTCACACACTTCTGTGAGACCAGTCCTGCTTTCTTTAGGATGCACGCCTTCAGACTCCACCTGCACTGCTTAGATGTGGTTTGTTTTAGAGGCTAAGAGATGAAAAACCAGAGGCCAGAGCAGAACCCTGGCTCCACTGATTTGCCAGCTGTGACCTTGAGCTGGTTAATGACCCTCTCCATGCCTGTTCCCTCATTCATCAACAGAGGTATAAGGACTGATACTCACAGTGTGCATGAATGGTTTCATGGAGTTAACACATGTAAAGTGCCCAAGGGTGCCTTGATCCTATCTGCTCTGTATTAGTCTCCATAGCTCAATTATACCTCCTGTCAATCACAGTGCACTTATACTTTCTGGCTATTTCCTACTAGATTGTAAACCATTTGAGGGATGAGACTACGTTAGTCTTGGGTATGCTCCTTGCTTACAAAAGCACTTGGCTTCAAATCTTTGTGTCATAAAACTCAAAGGCCTCTAGCCAAAGAAGTGAGTGGATGCAGGGGGATGGGAGTGGTGGTGGCTTCTCTTTCTCCAGGGAGATGTGTGAGGATGTATAGCAAAGATAACAGAAGGTGTGGTGGGAAGGAAGAAGAAAGGGCGGAAGTCTCCAGGAGGGAGAGGAGAAGTACACAGGTCCTTCTCCCTGGAGTTAGCAGGCTCATCAATGAATTCAACTAATATATGCAATATATGAGGGAAAATGGGGTCTACATAAAATCATTATTAAAATGGAAATCAAGATACTTCTTTTAAACATTCAAAAATATAAATTATAGAAGCGATATATGCCATTTGAATATGAATTTTTCAGATTTAAAGAAAAGTTCAGCTTGCAATTCAAAATGCACCCAAAAATGATATACTTATTGAAATGTCTTTATAAAACCCATCACTGTGTACAACAAATAAAAGTAATTTAAAAGTATAAACAAGAAAATCATATAGTTAACATATAAATGCAGAAAATGTATATAATAAAATTTAACAGAGATCTATTAATAAAAAATATAGAAGAACCCTCAGCAAACAGGAAATAAGATATTGTCAACCTAAGAAATGTTATATATGAAAATCTTACAAGTAATTTTATATATACTGGTGAGATAGTTGCACACCTCCCTCTAAGAGGAAAAGAAACAAAGAATAACCTACAATTCAAAAGGTGTCCAAAGAACGTCCTCTCAGTTTGAGTAAACATTTTTACTTATAGCTGGTGCCACGTGAGTTATCCACAGCTTGCTAACCGTCCAAACGTAGTCAGTTCACGGAATATGCAGGTACAAGGGTCAGGAAATCTATTTGCATATGAAATGTTAACTGCTCAAAAAGTTTTAAATTCCTTATTTCTTAAGATTTTACTCCCACAAACAGAGCATAATTGAAAATAAATGTTCAGATCCTAAGTATATATTGTAACAATATTTCCTAAAAATAATAAAACTCAGGCCTTATGAAATGCTTAGGAAGCCCAGTAGAAACACTATAAAAGACTTTTATATTTTGATTAAGAAGTATCTTGAACAAGACAAATTTCTAGAAAAATAAACTCTCAGATCAGTAAAGCTTGTTCCCCATTTATTTTGTGTGTGTAATTCAGAAATACAAGGTATGAAAATTCTGTTACAGTAATGCCACAAAAGCGTCTAAAGTAGCAACCTTTCCTAAATATCAAAATAGCCATGTGGTCTTTGTCAGTGTAAAAATGTCTTAGGAGTTCTCACCTCAAACAAGTATAAAATATAATGGCAACTCTCCGCTTTCCAAATACCAAACCCACAGCCTTCCATTAAACTAGCAAGATCAGAACAGCAGGACCCAGTCCAGAACTGGAGGGTGACAGTCAGCAGGGGCTTTTTAAAGCTGGGATCCAGAGACTAAGGGAGATAAGAAAGACACAGTACATCTGCTAGCAAAAAGTGTGACCATTAACTGTGGCCTTGAGTATGACATGTTTCAATTAGAACGCACTATGATCGATTTAAATATAATGACATAATCCATTGAAACAAATGCGTATAATTGTGTGAATTTAAGCAACTGTTACAGAAATGCTCTCATCTTCTGTCAGAACGTCATCTGTAAGTTTCTCTTTCAGGAATCAATATATGATTTAACAGATCCAGATAAATATATACCACTGAATTATAGGTAAGTATTAATGGAAAGAGACCACAACATTATAAATAATCAACTTTGCAAATTATTAAAATTTAAAACTATAGGACAGAGTGACTTTAGTAAAGGATGTTTTTGGACTGGGCTGAGGAATCAGACCCAGGTCCTCACAGGTGTTAGGCAAGTGTTTTCCTACACAATCACTTCCCTAGGCTGTGACTCTTTTCCTCTTTTTTTTTAAATAAATAAATGAAGATTGTTTCCTATTCATTCTCAATTATGAAGGATCCCTAAATTATGTTGGAATTAATACAGCAGAGTGACATTAATTTTCAATAAACATAGGATATATTACAATAAAATAATACAACACAACCTAGCAGAGCAGGCATTCAGAACTGAAGCCCCACAAGCTCTTAGTCACTCAGAGGAAATACTACAGCAGAACTGTAAGCCTAGGGCCGGGTTTAGTAACTCAGTGGTGGGACTCTGCCTTAACACGAGGTAAAGAATGCCTTGTGGTAAAGAATTTCCAACTCTCAGGAAAAAAAACAAAGCCGATAATTTCCCTAACAATTGAACTGCCTCCCACCAAACCATTCTTTTTCTGAGCGGAAAAATGCAGTATTCCCACATCTGGGATGAAATCACAGTTTTGTGGGACACTGCCTAAATGGGGCATTCCACACCTGTGTTTCAAAGTTCACCATCTGTTGGACTTTTCAAAGGTAATGCGGAACACACACTGATACACATGACATTTGCCTGGAGTCTGGTGAAGTTAACAACGGGCATGTGAGACTAATGTAACATGAATAAAAACTGCAACACTCACAACAAGTTCAAGTTTGGCTGACATGAATCATGGTATCAACTCAGAAGAGAAAATAAAGCGCATGCCAAACTTTTCTGAGCGAGGGTGTTGGGGCCTCTAACATGTTGGCTGAAAGACTCATGCCGTGGCATCATGGTCTGCACAGCTGAGTTTAAGCTGGGAAGGGTTAGCATCTCCCACCATGAAACAAGGCTCTTCAGTTTACTTCAGGCATTATCCACATAGCCGTCCCCTACCTGAGGACTGTCTGAAAATGGTATAATGAAAGAAGTTAATTGTACTTTGTCAGACTCCATCTTGGACTAGATTTTAACAGACAATAGTAGAAGGTGCCAAGTGTCTGGGAACATTTGTAAGAAAATAAAACTGAAAACTGTCCAGACAGGGATGCAGCTGTTTCCTGTGAATGGGAACCTACCCCACTGCTCCAGCCCAGCAGCTGTCCACATGAACTGCAGACTTTGGCTACATCACACTGGAGGGGTCTTGGAACCATTCCGGCACTGTCCACCTACTCCTGCACACAGAAGGAGGTCACGACAAGCAACGCACATGCTATTTAAAACATGTTCTTCTCAGGTCTTCATAAAGATGGAGTCACTAAATACCTTATTAATTAAAAACTAAGCCACCATAAAGTCAAGAGCTTGGAAAATTCAAAGAGCAAAGAAGTTCGAGGCTCATTGGCTATGGTGGTGCAAGGCTGTACTGCCGGCACTCAGGTGGCTGAGGCAGGCAACCAGGCAACAATAAAAAAAAGGAAGGAAAGAAAAGAGAAAAACAAAACCCAAATGTTTCTGATGACAATAATTTCTAGGTTTTCAATAACTTTTTGTTGTTGTTTTTGTCTTTTACTTACTTTTTAACAGTTAAAAAAGTTTTTTTTCTTTGAAAGTAGAGGTATTTTCCCAGTGGAATGAACTGGAATGCAAGGTGGACAGGACGAAACATCAAGACAGAGGTAACTGTCCTTGAGCTGTGCAGTGAACAGAATGAGTGGGGATACAGACTAGACTCAGCATAGGCACTTGACGCAGATTCACTCAATGAATGGCAGACCTGCAACCCGAGGCACGTGAGCACAGAGATCTCCTTAACACACTGAAGACACTACTCAGAGTCAGCGGGAGACAGAGCAGCTGAGCATCTTACTTCCCAAATAAGGGTGTTCAAAATCGGTCATCTTTACAAGTAACTTCACTGAGAAGTATGCAACCAGCCACCTTCCCTAAAAGCTACATGTATGCTGTGAGGATAAAAACGGCATGCTTTGGGCTGAGAAATGGCTCAGCCATTAGAGACTAGGCTCACAACCAAAAATATAAGAATGCTTGTAAATTTTTTGTTTTAATGAATTCATAAATTAATTTAAAAAGTAAAAAAAAATCTGCACTTGTCTCCATCATTTTTTTTTACAAAAATACTACAGAAGAATAAGCAAAATCAGAAAGAGAGCTGGGAAGAACACAGAGACTGAGCTGGAATGGAATTGTGAACTTCAGATCATCATGACTATTGAAGAAACTGTAAACTTTTAAGCTTCTATGAGATTTTATTTCTATTCAGAAAACATGTAAAGAAGCTACCTTTCCCCATGAATAAAAATAAAAATGTTCTAAGCACTAGTCTTAAGAAGACAAGAAAGCCCCATTTGCCTATGCAAAGGACTCAGCCCCTCGCCTTCCTCTGCACCGCCCTCTCATCCCCCTCATATTATAGGGATCAAAGAGAGAGAAGCCAGCCTCACTAGCAGAAGCGAGTACCAAACACAGCAGAGGAGAGCTGACAGACTCACTGGCTATGTGGAAGTCACACCTTGAATAAAAAATGCTAAAAAAATTAAAAACAAACAAAAAAAAACCAACCCTAATGAAAACCCAGACACCATCTTTCATGAAAAATTAAAACCAAAAAACAAAAGAAACCCTCAAAAGTTCTTATGTGCCACAAAGTACATTTCTTGATCTCTATGGGCAAGAGGGGGATAAATGAAAAAACCAAATTTACCATTCTGGAATTCTATTCTTCACCCTGTTCTCCGTTACTAGTTCTCACATGGTCATCACTTTGCCTCCAAGCCCAGAAAACCCAATGGTGTCCTGGTCTGTATTTGCATAGTGTTAACGGTGATGTTGTAGAGACAGCTCCGTCCCTTTGCTTGCAGCCAGATCCTGAAGAGCACTGGGTCCAATCTCACACATTCACAAACAAGACACAAGAGTCCGGAGGCCAAAAACCGAGTTCCATTAGCAGCAAGCCGTTCAGATCACTGGATACAGTCTTGTCCGAGGGGCAAGAATTAGGCAGTTTTGTCTACAGTTTCAGGTTTTGCTTTCTGCACCATGCAGCGGCGAACTATATTATCAAAACTTCCCAGGTAAAACAGAGCAATGGTTCGGAAAAGGCCCATGGTGACCACCTGCAAGGCAAAGGAGACCTTTCAGCTCGCCCAATGAGACAGCACAACAGCCCATTTTAAAGTAGTTCCGTCTCCACTAAACAGTTTCTAGGACACATCTGATCTGCTCCAAGAACAAGTATAATGAAAACTTTGTAAATGCCAGTAATTTCCAAGGACAGAATACTTTGTACCCTGGATAGCACTGAGCCTGCTAGACAAACAGCAACATTTGTCTGAATTAACAAATTCCAATAATAAAAAGAACAAAATAGGTATTCTTAGAAGATAAGGTTGTAAGTCCTGGGCATGGTGCTCTCAAGCATTTCAGATAGACGCCCCATAATCAAACCTTGGGCTAGGACTTATGTTGAGTATTAAGCCCCCTTGCTGGGTGCTGAGGATGCCAAAGTAAGAAATACATATTCCTCTACTATCTGAACTGATTTCTTTATTTTTTGAGACAAATTTTCACTATGTTGCTTAGAATGGTCCCAGCTCCTGGTCTCCAGCGATCCTTTGGCTTTAGCCTTCTAAGTAGCTGTGACTACAGGTGGGCACGCACCCGGCTGGTAATGGAAATATAATCAAGTAGGAAAGCATTGTCTCAGGGGCAAGGCTGCAATTATCCACGGCCATTTATCCTGCCCAGTGACAGAATCTCACTAACGCAAATGGCATCACAGAAAGAGACACATTTTCAGATATGCAAGGACTAAAAACCACTGTCTCCCAGGTATCCTTTTCCAAAAAGAATGCGATCCAGAAAGTGAAAGTCACCAAAGTAAAGAGGTGTCATGTGAGTTGGTGAATTTGTAAATATCTCAAGAGAGACTGGCAAGGCAAGCAATGAATTTACAATGAATTAGCATACTGGGGATGTGGTTCAGCTGGTTAAGTGTGTTCCTAGCAGACAAGAAGTTCTGGCTTCCATCCCCAGCCTCACATAAAACAGGCCTGGTGTGTCCACCTGCAAGCACAGCACTTGGAGGAAGAGGCAAGAGGGTCAGAAGTTCAAGGTCATTATTTCAAGAATCTTGGGGGGGGGAGATCACAGAAAAGGACAAAAATAATACTGTGCTGTTCATCTGTGAAGACAAACATGTCCTCAAATACAAATCATATCATATCATACAATGATAACACAGCTGAACTGAGGAAAGGGACTAGGGAGGAAAGTACGCAGGAGAGCCAGCTGCCCTCCCCCAAGCTAAGGGCACCAAATAAGAAAGCCAGGAGCACCTGCATGCAGGGGCACATCCTCAGGTGGTGGGGTGGACCGTGGGGGCTTTGCTAAAAGAGGAGCGACTGCCTCAGACACAGGCACAAAGAGGAGCTGAGAAGGACCAATTTTTTCTGAAAGCCTTGGTGATGCTTTGATCTCTGAGTGAGTGCAAGGCTGACTTTTGAAAAAGCCGAGGAAACTAAAGGGAAGCTGGTCAAGGAAACCTGAGTAAAGCTGACGGGTGGCCGGGACTCAGGAAGGGATAAACCAGGTGTCTCTCAGGAGAATTTTAGGACAGTGAAATGATCCCACGTGGCCCTGAAGTGGTGGATACATGCCTCATAGAAGCAGAGTATAAACTGTGAGCTTTAGTTGAGAACAATGTGTCAATAATGACTCATCTGGAACATGGGCACCACGCTAATGAGACACAGGGACACAGGGGCTGTGGTGGTCCGTCGGGCACTCAGGGAGTTTGATGGACTTTCCACTGAGAGTTTCTGTAAAACTAAAAACCAAGCTCTGTTATTTAAAATAAAACACCAGACCTAAAGGTCATGGGGAGAGACTTCAGGAGAAGCGTTTACAACACAAACTAACAAAGCTAAAACAAGCCCAGGTCCAGCACAGGCCTGTAGTTCTCTCGTGAAAGGAAACCTGGAGAGGAAACCTCAAGATTTGAAGCCAACAGGAACTTGAGAATGAGGACTAGGAGGACAGAGAGAGCACAGGAGAGTTAGAGGGGAGGTAGACGGTCAGCACGCTGGCAGGCTTGTGCCGGGAACTGGAGTGTAAGCTTCGTCCAGGGGCTCGGAGGAGCTCTCGTCAGCAGAGCTACAGTTTACAAACACAGCATAGAATCTGTGAGCACTCCAGTGGCCTGGGCAGGGTGCTGGGTCACAGGGGCTGGGCCGGGCTGCTGCAGACCTTCTAATGTCCCAAGAAATGTCTCAAATCTGGATCTTTTGTTTTGCAATATCTGACTTTGACACTTTTTTATTTGATACTCATGGAGTATGGTGGCTTATACTCGTAGTCCTAGTACTAGGGAGGGTAGACGGGGGAAGTCAGTGTGAGCCTGATGCTTGCTTAGACTACACAGCATGTTCCAGGCCAGCCAGGACCACAGACAGTCCATACATGTCTATCAGATGGACCACAACATGCCTTTTCATGCCCACAGGCTCCGGTCTACAAGTTCCAGCTGACAACATGTGACTCATGTCAGGGGCAGTGATCTTGGTCTCAACTTTGGGATCATTAGCAGAGCTACAGACTGTGGGACAGAGCTGAGGTGATGAGAGGGACCCTGACAGGAGATGCAGAAGCAGAGGAGTCAGGAATCACAGCCCAGTCTCTGGCTGGGCACTTGGGCAGGAGCACCCACTGCAGAGTAAGCACACTGGAAAGAGCTGGGCAGGAGACATGGCACAGGAATCCGGGGAACTACAAAGGTTTACTCTGGACTTGTTAAACTGGATATGTCCAGTTACTTCCCAGGGAAAATATGGAAAAGAAATTGATTTTTAAAAAGATGGAATGTGAATCTAGCTATGGAACTGACTTTCAGACATGGCGTCACGAGAAGGACTAGACTGCCTTCAGCTAAGTGCAGACTCTGTGCTCTCATCCAACTTGGGCATCCTCAAACTTCCGTTTGTGTAGATGCTGGCTGCTGGGGCACAATGATGAACAACAGCCACACAGTCCCTGTCCCCAAAGATCTTATACCTAACAATGTTTACTGCCACACAATCCTAGGACAGTGGTGCACTTCAGAATGTGACGGAAGAGAAGGAGATGCTCCGAGAAGAAAACAACCAGGCGACTAGGGAGCCGGGTGAGTGCACCTTACTCACACCCTACAGACCCCATGCAATGCCAGCAACGGTCCTTGGCTTTGTGCCCCCAAACACTGCTCCCATTATAGCTTGAATGGCACGTCTGCCATCACCATGACCTCACCCAGCAGGCTCACCCGCTACATGGCAAACTCCTTACAGCTTAGTGACCCTCTTACACCTAGCCACCTGGGGAAGGCAGAACCTTATCAACAGGAAGTGTTCTTTCTTCCAGGCCTGGAAAGACCTGGAGAGATAGCCCAGTGGTTAAGAGCACATGCTGTTCTCCCAGGAGGGCCTGTGTTCGATTCCCAGCACCTAGACGGCAGCTGACAACTCTCCTTAACTCCTTTCAGAGAATCCAATGCTCTCTTCTGGCCTCCATGGGCACTGCATATATGTGGTGCACAGACAGACATGTAAGCGAACCACTCAGGCACACTTACATTCTAAGAGTTGAACTCTCATGTGTCCTGGGTGAAACTATAACTTCTATAAGGGCAAAGTGTGTCTAGCCCTCTGCTCAGTCTCCTTCAGCTCAGCTATCAGTGGCTAGATCACCAGAAATGGGATCCTAGTCTAGCACCTCATTGTTTGTGGGCCGCGCTGTTCCTCCACAATCCTACACCAAGCACTCCTTCTCAAACACACGACAGCACGGAAGGGCGCTTTCCCCGAAAACCTCAGTGAACACCCAACAACAGACAGTCCTTCAAGCCCCTGCAGGGCCAGTGCCTCCCTCCACCAGTATACATCGCTACCCTACTTCCTGTCTACTTATTGCTGGCAGAGAAAGAAAAGAAACCGCACATTTAAAATTACTGCATTCTACTCTTCGTATTTTTCTTACAGAATCTGGATGAGGTAATTCTTGTCTTGTCAGTCTCCCTGTCTGTATGTCTATCTGGTTGCTGGCTAAGGAAGGGCTTACCTGCTGGAGTCCTTCCGTGATGGAAGTCACCGGGGCCATCCCACAGGTGAGTGATGACAGCATGTACCCATCTGAGCCAATGGAACTATTAAAATTTCCTTGCTAAAAAGGAAGCAAGAAAAAAACGAAGAGTACGGAGTTAGTTTAACGGAATCAGTGCTGGAGAAGCAATGAAGTCCATCTCTTCACTCTGTGGGCTAGGATGGCAACTTAGGTATACCAGAACCAAAAACACGACACATAGACTTAACGCAGGTCCAGTTCTGAAGTCCACAGGTCCCCGTGGTTTCCAGAGCCTTCCAGGGTCTTTAGGACAATGCAACTGTCAAATAACACTGAGACATTTAGCTGGTCTCCGCACTGAGCTTTGTACAGAAGGACACACTGCCAATGCACAAACCAGTGGTTTTTGTAAGTGTGGGTAACGGCCCTAACTCAGTCATTGCCACGGCACACAGTGACAAAGAAAACACAATAAAAGGTCTTTAAGAAAGACACATCTTACTTAAAAACACTTATTAAAACAGGATGGAATCAAGGCTTCCTGCACGCTAGGCTATGACTCTACAACTGAGCTCCCTCCCCAGGTAGGTGTTCCATGGGTGTGAACACAGGACACACCCAGCAGACGCACCATCAGTACCATCTGATGGGTTAGGCTGGTCTTGGACCATCTCCTAGAGGTCAAGAGAAGGAGGGCTACTGCTCCTCACGTGACAGACGTTTAAACTGGGAACACCAAAGCTGTTGACACTTGAAGGAACTGCTCAGAGATGAGCTTCCTGACAAAAGGTTCTCCTCTTCAACAACCACCGACCAGCAGACTCCATTCTGACTTGGGTTTGAGGCACAAATGGGACACATGAATGAAGTGAGTTTGAAGCTTGCAGGAAAATCATAGGATACACATGTGGGCAGTGACAAAATCTAAACTTTTAGGGAAAAATTAAGATTTGGGAAAACTTTACCCATCAGTGTGAGCCTGCTGGGTTCCCACTATTTCCAGATCTCTGATGAATGTGACTTTTGATAATTCAGTGATTCCATATCCAAATGACTATGCATGTTTTTAACTGATGAATGAGCAAGCTAACTGATGAATGATCCATTCAAAGTACAAACTAGAGATGGATTTTAGTGCCACATTGAACAAAAAGTCCATTGGTGCAGTTTCTAATTTCACATTGTAACCGACCTTTGTCAAGTTGGGGGTTAGTATAAAAAAAAGAAAATTATGCCCATAATTGTCTGGAAAACTTAGTGAAGACTTTGTCGTCTCCCAACTACGTATCTGTTTAAAGTCAGATTTTCTTCAAATGTTTCAAAAAGAATGTATTTTAACAGACTGGCCACAGAAGCAGACACCAGAATCCAGCTGGCATCCATTAATTCAGACCTTGTACAGGCTCATGAAAACACAATACCACACTTTTCACTGAACTTTTGTTTGAAAATAGTTATTTTTGAGCCAGGCGTGGTAGTGCATGCCTGTAATATCAGCCCCTGAGAAGTGGGAGAAGGGTCAGCAGTTCAAGGCTATTCTCAGTTGCAGACTGAGTCTGAAGTCAGTGAAGCCACTGGAGCCCTGCATTTAAAAAACTAAGAACAGGGACGACTCTGCAGACAAAAGCTCTTGTCACGTGATCTAACTTCCATCCCCAGAACCCCAGTGTAAGGAAAGAATTAACTCCTCAAAGTTGTTCTCTGACCTCTGTACACACACACACACAAAAAAAAAATAAAATAAAATAAAAAATAAAACAGAAAGAAAAGAGAGGGAGGCACACAGCTGCCTGGAACTCTGATTCCAGGGGATATGATGCTCTCTCTCTTCTGGCCATGGCAGGCATTGTGCATACATACACTCAGGCACAAACACACATTAAAGAACAAATAAACCCGTTTAAAAATGTAATGAATTTAATGCTTATTGCAGTTTTATTATTTTGTTTTTCTTTTCTTTCAGATGTGTGTGTGTGTGTGTGTGTGTGTGTGTGTGTGTGTGTGTGTGTTGCCTACATGTATGTCTGTGTACCACATGTGTGCCTGGTGCCCTAGGAAGTGGTGAGCTTCCATATGGGTGGTGGGAATCGACCTAGGTCCTTTGCAAGAACAACAAGAGCTCTTAACCACTGAGCCAACTCTCCAGTCCCTGTTTATTTGATTTTAAGTGATTTCATCTCATAATTAAATCTCTCCCATCATCCTCTGGGTGATGGAACCCAGGACTATGTACACATGCAAGGCAAGAAATCAGCACTGAATTACTATCCACAGCCCCGCAACTAAATATTTTTAAAACTACACTTTTAGTATTTATTATGGCAAATATTGAGAAACATGGGCCTGTCAGGTGTGATGGCGAATGCCTCTAATCCCAGCACATGGGAGGCAGAGGTAGGTGTATCTGTGAGTCTCAGGCCAGCCTGGTCTACAGAGCGAGATCCAGAAAAGCCAGAGTTACACAGAGAGACTCGTCTCAAAACAACAAACGAACAAAAAGGAAATATAGCCCAGATAAACATATGGGGTTTCTGGTGCCAATAATATATAAAAGTATAACGGTGTCAAGAGAAGACAATGTTTGAAATCTACCTTGGGAGATGACGCTTGCTGAAGCTGGGAGCACTATTTGGGGTCATTAAAAGCCCAGGTGGTGGAGCAGGTGAGGAGGCCTGCTCAATGGTAGGGAGCATCTGGCTCTCTTATAGGCGATGCTAGCTTCTAGCATCAGCATGAACAACACACGCGCCTGTAACTCCAGTCCCAAGGATCAACGCCCTCTTCTGGCCTTTTTGGGCACTGTACCAGCACACACACACACACACACACACACACACACACACACACACACACACACACAGTGCACATGCATACTTGCAGGTTCTCACACATACACATTTTTCTTTTTTAATCTTGGGGGAAAAAAAAACACCTTGAGGGTGTTTGTTTTGACGCTAGAGAAAAGCAAACTAGTTTATCCTTGTCATGCCTCCTATTCCACTGCTCTGTGCTCTGAAGGCAACCAAGGCAACCATTCCACCCCAGTGTGCGTGTGTGTGTGTGTGTGTGTGTGTGTGTGTGTGTGTGCAGATGTGTGGGGACTAGAGGTCAATATTGGGTGTCTCCCTCAATCACTCTACCCCTTATCTTTGGAGAATGGGTCTCTAAATGACCCTGGGTAGGCTCCCTAATCGGCTAGGTTGGCTGGCATGCAAACTCTGGGCCCTGCCTGTCTCTGCCCACACAGGGCTTGGGTTACACACAGGTGCAAGCAATCACACTGACTTTTTACGTCAGTGCTGGGGATCTGAACTAGGTCCTTGTGCTTGCACAGCTTATTGGGCCATCTTTCCGTCCCTGCTCTCTCTCTTTTAATGTATATTTATTTATTCACTTGTGTGTATGTGTGCACCCCAGCATGTATGCAGAGACCAGAGGACAACCCGACGGAGTCAGCTCTCTCCTTCTGCTGCTGGGTTTTGAAGAACTCAGGTTATTAGGAAAGGTGGCAGGCGCCTTTACCCTCTGAGCTGACTCACCAGCCCTTTGGATCTGTTGGTTGAAGCTGTTGTTACTTTGTTCTGCTCAACTTGGCACAACAGTCTTTTCGCTACTTAAAAACTGCACCATGTTATCTGGATGCCTCTCATGGCAATGGACCCCAGATTTTTCAAAGTCATGTAGGCCACCTGGGTTCATGCACATCCCTGAGAATGAACCTTTTTCCACACATGGATTAAGGGAAATATTGTCAAATGACCTGTGGTACACAGGGTATTCTACAATGCTTTACATGGTTTCTAAGGCCAACTCCCCACACATCGACTAGGTGAGGAGACACATCGGGGTATGGTGGGCCTAGCAGCCTGACACAGCTTCCTATCATGAGCTATGAGGGAAGTGGTACCAGGGAACAGGAAGAAGAAAGAAACATCCATCCCGAGCCTGGCCACAGGCTTAGATGATCTCAAACTGTAGGGGTGGGAAAGAAGGCCAGGACAAGGCTCAGTGGGTAAAAGTGGACACCAAGACTGCTGACCTGAGTTCAGTGCCCTGGACCTGTGTGGTAGAAGGAAAGAACCCTCCCGTATGAAGGTGACATTCTCACACACACAATAAATAACACTAAAGTTACAAACAGAAAGATGGTGACATGCCTTCTGCTGTGCGCACACTTCCCAGGGGCTGAAGCTCTCACTTAGCACGACTCCATCCCTCAGGTAACATAGAATCAACAGAAAGTCTAGGGGAGGTGAGCGGAGGCTAAAACAGACAGCTCTGACCAAAGCTGGCTACTCTCCTCTGAATTAAGACCTTATGTGTTTTCAGAAACAGTACAAATACAAGTAGCACAAAAAAAATAGAAGGGTTTTTACTTACTATGGCATCTTTCACAATTTGTTTGGCCACCTGCTCTGGTTTGCAAATAGCTGTAGTCTCTGAAATAAGCCGGGTCTCCAGGGGCTAGAAGTGGGGAAACATATAGATCAATGCCTGTTGCATTAAAATAAATAGTTCTTACAGGCCCTGATTCACAAATAATTATCAGTTTTCTACCTTCAAACAAATTCGTATGTTTTAGGCAAAAATCAATCTAGATTCTCAGTTTCTATCTGTGGAATATTCATCTGCATTGGCAAAGCAGGACAAGGAGCTGCTTGCTCTTCTGTGGTGCAAGTGTGGCTCAGGTGAGGACTGTCGAAGCTCAGTAGAGCAGATCAGTGCATCCCAGTGCAGAAGGGTCCCCACTCTGACCGGCCAGACACCTGCCTGACAGTGTGTACACAGAGGCTGGTCCCCGTGCCTGAGCAATCTACCTCATAACAGTGCCTCCATTCTGACTAGACTCCCCATCGAGCAAATGAATGATGCTGGGGACAGATACAAACCCTGAGTGTGGACGTCTCTGCCAAGGCCCCATTGAAGAACTGTAACTATTTCCTCAAGGACCGGCAAAGAGACTAGCTATCTGAGAATCTACACTGTGCAGTCCCTAGTTTGTCTGAAGGACAGTTACAGGACTGGGACAGTTCCCAAATCACAGACTCTGGCTCCTCCAAAGACAGATAAGGGTCTAGAGAACCTGGCTTAGAACCTTTCCTAAATCCTTGCTCAGTCTCTTTCTCCCCTTCCCCTCGCCTTTTCTCCGTTATTTCTGCATTAATCCACACTATGGCTACTTCTGTATTTATACTTTGTGTCCTAATTTACTTGTGAGCAGTAATTTTTTTTTTCTTTTTTCATTGGCTTTTCTTAGTAGTACTTTAACACATCTAAACCCTCTTCAAGAGTTCCCAACTGGAGCATTAGGCCACAGGAGACTGTAAATTTGACTCTTTACATAGGCTTGAGGGGAAAAGCCTAGAATATATTTCCTCTTCCTTGTCTGGTTTTGTGAGACGCTTGGGACTCTTAATCATCCTGCCTCAGCCTCCTGAATCCTGGGATTACAGGCATGTGCCACCATGATCAGTTTATTTTTATCTTATTTTATTCTTCTTAAAATTCCTTATGAATTTGAGAGGACAAAGGTCGCTTTGATGGTGCCACCATTTGCTCTTCCAGCCTACCAGGTGGGTGAGGACATGCAAGATGCCCTGAGTTAGAAAGGTGTCTACCACTCCCACAGGGCCACAGATCAACGCAAGTTCCAGTCACCAGAAATCTGTCCAGACTTTTACTGGAGGTAAAATGAAAACATACAAACTTAACATCAGAATCAAATCTCAGAGAAATCACCACTTTTCTTCAGTTTTAGCTTCAAACTTAAAGACTATGCAGCATGTATTAAAAATGCATTTAGTGGATCTCTGAGGCAGGAGGTTTGGTTTCAATTTATTTCTTTAAAACAGAATGAAATTGTAAAAATGGCTGAATTTAAAAGAAAATGGTGGAGGGTTTCTACATCAAAATGTCTTTTCTTTTCAAACAAAAACAGGACATAGACTACATAAACATCCAAATTTTATGCTACAGAGATCTACATACACTGTAAGAGGAAAACAGGAAAATATAAAGTAATTGTCTAAAACTAAAATCACTCTCAGTGCGAGGTGGTGTGTTCTGCTTGGTTTCTTCCCACCCACTTCATCTGTCTGCTATGTGTCGAGGCGAAGGAGGAGGAGCCAGATGAACATCGGCTGCACTCAACTCAGGATAACCCGAGCTCACTTCAGATAACCTTTGTGTCCATGCGAGATAGACGGCATGGAGGCTGAATGACCAGATCCAAGCCGTCTGCCCACTGAGGGTGGGAGGCCAGCAGTGGACCAATCAGAGCCTCAGTTCCAACTCTAACAGCCTCCACCACAGCACAGGAGACGCCTCAGTGGGGAAAGGATGAGAAAAAGGGAGCAGATGTCCATATAAGGAAATCTAAGGAGATGAACGCCCCACCCTGTTATCTCCAGGCAAAGCAGAGGGGGAGGAGGCGCCAGGGGTTTACAACCGGCCTTTCCGTGTCACACTCAATGTGAACACCGAGTGAGGTCAGAATGCCTGAACACAAGAAACAGATAAGGGGAGTAAAATGGAAAGAGCAAAAGTAAAACCAACCAACATCCACTGAAGCTCCTCAGGAGGCTTCAAAAGTCCACACTAGGCCCAGGACCTCCCTCTGCCTGAGGATCAGGATTTAGCTCTCAGTTACTTCTCCAGCACCATGCCTGCCTTTGTGCTACCATGCCCCCTCCATGATGGTGATGGACTAACCCTATGATACTGTAAGAAAGACCCAAATAAATGCTCTCTTTTAAAAGAGTTATGCTGGTCTTGCTGTTTCTTCACAGCAATAGAACAGATTTCTAAGACAAACTCCATGACAGAAAAAAAGATATAATTAAAAAAAAAATCAGTAGAAATAAAACTTTCAATGGAAAAGCTGAAGGAGAAAGAAAATGCGGAGAGGAGAAGGAAGTGAGACAATCAGACCAGAAAGTGGGACAACGGCCCCGGGAAGAACCGTCTGAAATATTTAGGATGGAAAACATTGAAAATGTTCCAGAACTGAAGCTCTTGAATTGACAGAATAAAGGGCGACCATGAGTGTCTAGCACATGAAATAAGAGCATTTCACATCAAACGACATTTTAAAAGATAAAAAGGGAAAAGGGTGTCCAAAAATTAAGAGCACCACCAATACACTATAAACCTGACTGGCCTCTAGATGCCTCGGGGATGAGGGACACACACCTCGGGTGTGTAACAGAGGGTTGCTCAGTCACTGAAGAATGCACAGTCTGCAGGGATTATTGGGAGGAGGTGAAAGGTAAGAGGTGGGGCCCAGTTGGAGGAAGTGGATCATTAGGAATATATTCCTGAGGCTAATGTTCACCCTGGTTCTTGCTGAACTCCCCTTTTCTCTGCTTCCTGTCAGGTGAACGGCTCTGCCCACGAGTTCTCCCTGTCCTGATGGACTGAAACCATGAACAGGAAACCAAAACAAACCCTTCCCCCTTCAAGTGGCTTTTCTCAGGTCACAGGGTCCCCACAGCAACACCAGAAACTAGAACTTAGTGAGAAATGCCCACAAAACTTTGAGGACCATCATTTTCAACTTAGAATTTTGTACCCAATAAAATGACCTATCAAAAACAACAACCACAAAAAGAAAGGAAGAAAAGAAAAAGAAGAAATCATTTCTGTTAAGGCAGATTCTAAACAAATGTTACCTTTCTCTGCAATGACTGAAGTGCCACTAAAGGGAGCAGATAAATGACGAAAGTAGAAGATGCAGATTCTAACAAAGGGACAGAAAAGGGACCTAGTAGACAGTGGAGGGCCAGAATGTCAAGCTGAGGCCTGTGCCCCGTCAGGAAGTCCCAGGAGAAGCAGGGGCTTTGAGGAAAGAGAACGAAAGTAACAGAAACCCCAGGTGTTCGGATCCAAGGACGTTCAGTTCTCCTCAGTGAACGAGCCACAGACACGCAAAGTTAAACGATTACATACAAGAAAGGAAATGTCATTAGAGAGGTGCAGACTTCAATAATACCCTAGAGTTACATATAAACACAGAATCCGACCATCAGATCTCGCAGGGAGAACACAGCGAGGATGGAGTAGATCTGAGGCTTACATAGTAGCTTCCCCAGCAAAAAGCAAGACCTATGTATGTATGTACTGGTTTTAAACACAGGGATGAAATGTGGGAGAGACAAGACCACAGGCAGTGCTGGACAACTATGATCTATGAGAGAATGAAGTTGGGAAAAATCAAGTTAAACATTAAGAAAAGGGGGCTGGGAGCAGAGGAAGGAAGGAGCTTTGCCTGGAGAACCCCAGGGAGGCAGATCCTGGCTCAGCACCATGCACCCTACAGACACAGTCAGGCACTAACAGGCAATGGCCAGGAGCCAACGTGGGGTGAAAATCAGAAGGGTGTGACACCGAAGATTCGGAATGCCTTGCCCTGGATGGCACAGGCTGGCAAAGCCAGCCCCGGGGAAGCAGAGGCAGGAGGACCCCAAGGCTTGTGGCAGTCAGCTCAGCCTACCGAACAGTTCCAGGACCAAGGTGGACACCAGCTGAGGAGGAACACCCAAGGTAGTCCTCTGGTCTCCATATGCATCTGCACACTCAAACATGCACAGTGCATACACACATAAAACCAAAGATACACTACACACATATTACATATACACATCACAGTACACACGCAGACATGCACAACCCCCCCCCCCCGACACAGTCACACACATACTTTATGCACAGACACACACCACACCCACATCATACATACACGTTACATACGCCGCACACCATACACTCACAACATCTCACACACACACCACACATTACACACACATACACAAAACACATCATACACATATGTACAACACAGAAGGCTGACACCATGTAGGAGTACTGACCTTAGTCTTGTTTTCCTCCGCCAACCCCGGGGTGTCCGTGTCCGGCGGGTAGGCCACAGTGACATACACATTATAAGGCTTCACCTGGTCACACAAACAAGGTTTGCACTTTGAGTAAACAGACCATTTTGTATTCATCCCGTGAACTTGTCTCAGCTGTGCTGACTCTGAGGTGACAGTCATCAGTGAAGAGCCACACATGTGCTCTCCCCTCCACAGTGACTCAGAAGTGACCCTCAGAGTTCTCCTGGCTCTCAAGTTCCTCAACCACCTCCAGTTGGTTCATCCCTGCCTGCCGACCGGCAAAGGCTGGAGCTGCCCGTGTGGACCAGTGTGCTTTTCAGAGTCTGCCCATGAACTGAGTTTCAAGGCAGGACAGCCTGTCTACACCCTCATCAACAGGGTTATATGGTCATTTTGCCGTTCAGGGTGCTCCCAACGCTGTTAGGTTCATTTCACTTGCGAAACACCATGACTCACATTGCCTTCCCCGCTGCCCACTGCTGCGCCCGAATCCAGGTCTGGAGAAGTCCCTGTACAACTGCCCACACAGCATCAGCAGAAACCATCTTCACCCTGGGTGGATCCCCAAAGTGGGACCAGCCAAGCAACATCCCTGCAAACAGCCTCAGCCAGTATTTACACATAGAAACTCCCCTCTGCCCTTTGACACTAAGATCTCTCATGGTGTAAGCCCAGGCTAGTCTGAACTGGGGATTCTGCCAAGGCTTCCCAAATGCTCAGGGTATAGGTGTGCACCACCATGCCCAGTTCCCCCGATTTTCTTTACAGCTATTCTGTCTAATTCCAACCTCCCTCTGGCTCTTCCAAAGCTTGTCTGTTCCCTATCTTCTCTTCCCATTCAACGACTCTACTGATGAACACACTCCAACAATCCCCGTGGACCTTCTTTTCAGGGGACGGTCTCCCAAACGGTGGCCAACAGCAACCTTGTTACCTGTTTTCTTAACCTAGTAATTAGCAAGCCAAAGGCTCAAACCATCAAGTTCATTTTGGCATGATATTTTTAGTTGCTGCTGGCTTACGTTTTTGTCCTCATAAAGACATCTGGGGCACTAGGAAGGGGAGGCGACAAGGCTAGCCACTGAAAATCTTAAGGATGGTAAATCTGACAGTGCTCCACAGCCCCATCCTCCCATCAGGAAGCCAGCCCTTTACTTCCGCGATTCCCTCAGTGACACAGTTGTGCAGCCTTGGAGGAGTTCCAAGGGAGAAACAGCAGGTGCTGGCTGGCCAGCCAGCCAAGGAGGCGCAAGAGTGAAAGCTGGCCCCGGCCCAGTGTGTCCAGGTCAAGAGGGTTCCTAGCTTGGCCTTGGCAGCCAATGCTCCCTTCCAGGCCAACCGGGCTCGTAAGTGAGTCAGCTGACAATGATAAGCGATTTCTCTCACATTTGCTTTTGAGATGGGGACTTAATAAAACACTGGTCTCTAGTAGTCTTGCTTGGTCCTGTATTGGGACCAGAGAAAAATAACTCAGAAAAAAGGAATTTGAGTAAATGATAATCAGGCAGTGTCACAAAGACCGACACTGACTTCCCAGACCTTCTCTGTGTTGCTCCCTCACCCCCACTCCCTGCAGTAAGTAAGGATTGTACCGTTTATGATAATTAAAACGATTTTTCAAACTAGGGTCTTGCAAACTCAAGGCCATGAATGGGTCACCAATAGCTAAAACGGTTCTCTCATGGGGAGGAACCGTAAATACCAAGGTGGAGAGGAACCAAGCAGTTCCCTTTGGGGCTAGCTTCGTCTCTGCAATCAAGCCCAATTACTCAGCTAGTCTATGGCTGGATGCTTCCAATGACGAACAGCTTAGCGTTTATGCAGCCCTTGGTCCGATCACCCAGCAAACTCTTACTAAATCACTACTATGTGCCAACACAGTCCTGAGAATGGACAGCTCTCTGTCCCTCACACAGTTCCTGGTCTCCTGATATTCTTGTTTACATAATTTGCAAAAATCAGTACATATAAAATTAAGCCTACATCTTTAACTGTTAGTATTATAACCCAACCCAAAAGGTTAACTTACATTTACTTGTTCTGAGTTATGACAAGTGTGATGCTCAATCTCACGAAATCCTGCCGAGCTAGTCTGCTTTTCCCTGTCCTGCAGAACGGCCGTTATCTACCCTTCTGCTCTGCCTCTCCCCCATCCTATCCTCATTTTCTCCCTTCTACTGGGCACCAGCCTCAAAGAGGTAAGACAATGGATGGCTCGCCTAAGAACCAGTTTATCATAAAAAGTCATCCCACTTAAGAGCTGTTATTCCTTGCTCTATTAAAACGAGAATACAGGGCTGGAAAGGAGACCCCACCTGCGTACTCCTAAGTGGAGAATCTAACCTCCAGCTTACTGCTGCACTATGGTGGAAGGAGAGGAGGGGAGGCAAGAACACCTGGGTGGGGGTGCTGTTGTGCTGTTTCAGTTGAATCTTGAATGTATCTCTGGCTACAACCCACTTCCGAAATATACTTGTCAAAAAGATCAAGTTTTAAAAAGATCTTTAAATAATATATTTGTATCTAAAAGACTAAAAAGAAAATCCAATCCCAAATACCAACAAAGCATTCAATTAAACACACTGTGCCCAGATTTCCAGAGTCTTACTTCAGTTTTGGGGAATAGGGAGGTACAGAGAATACTTAAAAAGTTAACTAAACCAAAAAGTTTATTTAAAACATTAAGCATTTTAGCAACTATGTTGGTTTTACTCATAAAAACTGACCAAATTATCCAGATTTCAAAAACCAGTTATTAGTTTAGAGGGAAATCTTGGTTTGATACAAGTTTTACTATGAATAAATTGGAATCAAAAGACTCAATATATTTTCTCTAATAAAACAGCAGTCTTTTGGATGGTATGTTTTTGTTTGTTTAAGCAATGGCACTTGTAATGCACAGGAGTCAAAGAGACTTAGCCCAGGCCAGCTACCAGCAGTGAGAAAAATCACTCGTCATCAAGAGGGTGGGAGGACTCTGTACCAGCCACTGGGTCACTGTTCCCTCTGAAGTGAAAACCAGGGCACCCAGATGATACACTCTGTCCTCAATTTGTGAATCTCATTGTCAGACATGGGGAGAGCCTTAATGGGCATATATTTTTATCTCCTAAACTCCTGTGACTGTATGGATTCTAAGACCAAAGCCAAAAGGACTAGATGAAGCAGCTGCCAGATGCACACACCGACTTCTGCCCTGATGACAGACACATCCTCGGCTGCAAAGGACTTGTAAACTTGCAGTCTCTGGGTTGGACCTTGTTTATTATTCCTGTTACCAAGTAACTATGTGACTCTGAACAACTCACTGAATTCACTAAAAACTCAATTTCCTTTCCCAAAAGTGGCATGAAGAAACCTAACTGCCTGAAGATCAGAGAAGCAGAGCAGCCAGCCACTAGTTCTTACATCTACAAAATCCTCAGCCAAAAGAGGCTGAGCTCCTCTTTCCTCCCACCTTATATTCCTCTCTCCACCCAGCCGTATCACTTGCTGTCTCAACATCCCTAGAGCTGGGATTAAAGGCTTGAGATCCCAAATACTGGGATCAAAGATGTGTGCCACCACCGCCTGGCTCTGTTTCTCTTTTAAAACACAGGATCAATCTTGTGTAGCTCAGGGAGGCCTTGAATTTAGAGATCCGTCTGCCTCTTGGGTGCTGGGATTAAAGGTGTGTGCCACCACTGCCTGGCCTCTATGGCTAACTAGTGGCTGGCTTTCTCCTCTGTTTTCAGGAAAGCTTTATTTGTTAGCTCATACACAAAATATTCCTGTGTGTGTATGTGTGTGTGTGTGTGTGTGTGTGTGTGTGTGTGTGTGTGTGTGTGTGTGTGTTAGAGAGAGAGAGAGAGAGAAGGAAAGAAAGAAAGAAAGAAAGAAAGAAAGAAAGAAAGAAAGAAAGAAAAAGAGAGAAAGAAAGAAAGAGAAAGAAAGAAAGAGAAAGAAAGAAAAACAAAAATGGTTATTTGCAGAGTCCTTAAGGGTGATGGTTGAGAAGAAATCCCAGCACCTTCTCTTGCAATTTCACAGCCATACATGCTCTACTGACTAAGCATGTGTGTGCAGAAGCCTGAGGTGAATGTTGGGAGGTTTTCTTAACAATTCTCCATCTTATGCTTTGAGGTAGGGTCTCTCAATTGGACTCACACTGATAAGACTAGTCTAGCCAGTTGGCTTTGGGGATCCCATCTTCACCTACTAAGCACAGGAATTACGGCAGGCTTCCACATCCACCTAGCATGTACACGGGTTCCGGAGAGCCAAACTCTGGTACTCACACTGTACACCAAGCATTTTACCCACTGGCCCAGGACGGATCTTTAAGAAAGCTGTCTATCTAAGGACATTCCTGGCTCACTCGAGCAGAAGCCGATGAGGACCAGCAAGGCATCTCAAGTACTTTACACAGCAGACAACCCCCTGCCCTCAGAATTGCCTCCATCCGGAGTACGATTTTTATGCAATAAGAAACGTTAAAATCAGAACTTACAACTGAATTAGTTTTCTTTACACTGGTATCAGATTTACAAGTCTTTAACTGAATGCAAATAACGCAGGCAGAGAAACTAGAAAACTACAGAGCTCACGCTGCTGATCCGAGAGGAAGAAATACAAACACAAACACAACGTTTACCTCCATCTGCAGAGCTTCTGCCAATCCTCTTATGGCAAACTTGGATGAAGAGTAGGCTGTGAAACCAAACAGCCCCAGCTGTCCCGCCTGCGAGGACACAAACACGATTCTGCCCACACGTCGCTCCTTCATGGTGGCGATCACTGCCCTGCTGGGGTACACGCTGCCCAGGTAATTGATGCTCATTAACTTCTGCAAGGAACAAAGAGGTCCCATGAGGTGGAAACATGGTCAACAGCCTAAGCCCTGCTCAAGGCTTGTTTTGTCTCTTCCCAGGATTAATTTCTTTAATAGAGACTGAGGTGGTTTGAATAAGAACGGCCCCCAGAGACTCGTCTATTTGTAGGTTTGGTTCCTAGTTGATGAACACTTTGGAAGGATTAGGAGGAGGTGTGTCTCTGGGATTGTGCTTTGAGGTTTCCAAAGTCCACACCAGCCCATTGTCTGTCTGTCTGTGCTGTGGACCGGAATGTAAAGCTCTCAGCTACTGCTCTAGCACTATACCTGTCCACTTCCCGCCACGATGACAATGGACTAAACCTCTGAACAGTAAGCCAGGCCCAGTTAAATGCTTTCCTTTGTAAGAGTGGCCGTGTCATGGCGTCTCTTCACAGCAATAGAACACTGACTGAGACAAAGCCCAAGAGACGGGGAGTGGGGTACAGCAGATTTGCTGGCTACATGAGGAAGTGAATGATGCTGTAGATGACATACGACACTTAGGACCTACCCTTTGAAGACTAGTCTTCAATTCTCACAGTAACAGCAGTTCCATCTTTGATGAAAAAAGTCAAAATTAGGGCGGGCACAGGCTGCTTTCTGTGTAAGCGTGAGGAATGAATTTGGATCCCCAGCACCCTCACAAAAGACATGCCAGGCATCAGGCACACACCTGTAACCCAAGCACTGTGAGGAAGAGAGCAGAGACGACTTGCTGGACAGTCCCAGCCAGTGTAGCCAAAGTGGTGAACTCCAGGTTCAGTGAGAGACTGGAATAAGGTGGAGAAGGAGAGAGGGGGACCCCCAGCACCAACCTCTGCCCTCACCATGCTCCAACACTGCATACTCTAGATAATGCTGTAGAGTGATAGTTTTAGGTATGCGTGCGTATTTTGCCTCCAATTATGTTGTATACCACGTGTGTGCAGTGCCCACAGAGGCCAGAATAGGGCACTGGGTCTTCTGCAACTGGAATTAAAGACAGGTGTAAGATGCTGGGAACCAAACCTAGGTCCTCTGCCAGAGATGAAACTCTCCTAACCCCTAAGCTTTCGTTCTAGGTCGTTGTAGGTAATACTTCGTGAAAGACAGTTTTAGGAGACAGCTTCTAAGTATTTCTAGTCCTATTTGTTCCAAGCTAAGCAAAGATTACCAAGAGAAAATGGCACCAGCTAACAACAGATGTGAGCTGAAGCCTTGGTACCAGCCTACTACTGATTTCATGAGAAAAAGACACTGCCCATTTTCTCAGCTGAAGACGGGGTAAGAATTACCTCAGGATGCTGCAGGGATTTTGGAGAGAAAACAGAAGCCAAGCACCAGCACAGATCCTGGTGCACAATAAGAACTCAGTACACACCAGACCGGCTTGTTCACTGGGACAGCCAGGAGCCCGCACAGTAAGAACTCAGTACACACCAGACCGGCTTGTTCACTGGGACAGCCAGGAGCCTGCACAGTAAGAACTCAGTACACACCAGACCGGCTTGTTCACTGGGACAGCCAGGAGCCTGCACAGTAAGAACTCAGTACACACCAGACCGGCTTGTTCACTGGGACAGCCAGGAGCCTGCACAGTAAGAACTCAGTACACACCAGACCAGCTTGTACACTGGGACAGCCAGGAGCCCGCACAGTAAGAACTCAGTACACACCAGACCGGCTTGTTCACTGGGACAGCCAGGAGCCTGCACAGTAAGAACTCAGTACACAGGCATGGGCACTCATAGCTTCCCATGGCAAGAACTCTTAAAACATTTGCTCAACGTGAGAACCTGAGGATGGTCACAGTGTATACAATGAAAGTTGTACGCTGTCATCTTGCAAAACTAAACACAAACCATGATGACAATGTGGCAGAATATTAAGGAACTTTAAGAAAACTTTAAGGAACTGGAAACACAGGAGTGAGGGGGAAAGATTTATGATCTTGAAATTTTAAAAAGTAGATGGCAGGAGATATGCAGACCATACTTGGCAAAAGCCAAAAATAACTAGAAAATACTGATTATGTTCAGACACTAGGATTCCTGCATTTTTTTCAGGATATGTTTAATATCACTGTATTGTTTTAATTTTAAAAACTTTCATTTTTATTTTATGTATATGAGTGTCTTGTATGCATATATGTGTGTGCCTGATGGGCACTGGATCCCCTGGCACTGGAGTTACAGTTGAGCTATAAGATGAGTGTTGGGAGCTGAATCTGGGTCCTCTGCAAGAGCAGCAAGAACACTAACCACTTAGCCATTCCTCCAGCCCCACATTATACTGTTTTAGTAGTAAGAACCTCAAAAACTATCTGAGGAAGAATAAGACCCCTGCTCACCTCAGCTCTTTCTAGAGAACCCACTAAAACACCAGTAAACAGTAGGTTTATTTATCTGTTTTGGAGACAGGGTCTCATATTGTAGGCTGGCCTGAAACTCACTTCATAGCCCAGGTTGGCCTCAAGTTCATGCTTATTCTCCTGCCTCAGTTTCCTAACAGCTAGGCTTATAGGTATGAGCCACTATGGCCAGCTAAGAGCTCCCCGTCCCTTTTTAAGAGAAGAAAATAAAAATTAAAGGCAAAGCAACAACGTTTTTGAAAGCTGGAGAGCAGAGCGCCAAGCGGCGGCACACTTGGCGAGGCACAGAAACCGAGTGTTGGACGGCAGCAGAGAAACTAAGCAGCAGCGTTGTACAACATAACCCCCAAGGGCTGCAATGAAACCCAGAGCTTCTGGGATGGGGCTGGGTCAGGTAAAGAGTCCAAACAGCCACTGACGCTAAACAGACCAACACACTGCAGTATGCCCCCAGAACGGCGAACGAAGCATCGATGTACACGGCAGCACGAAGGGACCTTAAGAACGTGATGCTGTACAGGAAGCCAGACACAAGAGAGGACCACACGATTCTATTATTCAGCAAGACAGACAGAGATTAGCAGTGGCCAGGACTGGAATAAGGGTTTGGGCAATGAGAAATACTGACTAAAGTATAGGGTATCCTTTGGGGAGACAAAAATGTTTTGGAATTAGATAGCTACACAACATCACAATATGCTAACTAACTCCCTTCACTCTGAAATAGCCAGTCTTGCTAGGGGACAGAGGAGAGACCTGTGAGAGCAGTACTTAGGAAGCTGAGGCAGGAGAAGTGTGAGGCTGAGGCCAGTCTGGTGTCTCAAACAAACACACTTCATTTTATAAGGATTTCAGTTCACTTTTCAGAAACTGACATAACAATAACAAAAACAAAACAAAACCCAGTTAGATCTTAAGGTATCCTGCCTGGAAGAAGACAGAACTTCTAGAAAGGACTGACATATATTAAGTGAGTTAGACGTCAGTTTACCTAGAAATCTGTCCAGACACTGAATGCAGACTCCCCTTTAACACTGGGGGATGCAGACATTTCCAAGTCAGAAGCCTAGGTCACTTCTTGGGGGCTTTGGATAAATCCAAGAAAAAAGACCTACAGATACTGACCCCAAAGTGCCCAACAAGACATGGCCCAAGCCATCAACCCTACAGAGAGCTCCATCCACGGGCACAGAACTCTCCATTCAATACAACGTGAAATCACAAGCAAGGGTCAGCAGACATCCTGTAAAGCCTCCAATACAAAACACAACACGAACCTCTCTGAGGAAGCAAACACATTCACAAAGGAGCGATTCCATAGAACCAAAATGACTCAACATTCACAGCACGGGAAAAATGAGATACGGTTCCAAGAAACTGGGAGAAAAGCCATTAAGAGACTTAAGAGAAGGCTATGGGGCTCCTTGGGACCACCCCAGGCTTGGTCATTCGCTAGAAGGCTCCAAGATCCTCAGCATACAGTGGTAGGGGATTTATTACAGGGAAGGGCTACAGGCAAAATCACGGAGGGAAAAGACATCAGAGCAAAGGCTAGAATGAGTGAGCGCAATCTCAGAAATGTCACCCAAAGACCACATGGGACCCGCTGAATCACCCCAGCAATGAGCTGTGTCTCCTCTTCAGTGACACCATCAAACACTCACCTAGATTTCCATACTTAGTTGCTTCTATTTTTTTTTTTCAGAGCTGAGGACCGAACCCAGGGCCTTGTGCTTGCTAGGAAAGCGCTCTACCACTGAGCTAAATCCCCAACCCCCTTTTTTTGGTACGAGTGCTCTATTTGCATGTATGACTGCACACCAGAAGAGGGCATTCAGATCCCATTATAGATGGCTGTGAGCCACCATGTGGTTGCTGGGAATTGAACTCAGGACCTCTGGAAGAGCAGCCAGTGCTCTCAACCTCTGAGCCATCTCTCCAGCCCCTTGTTGCTTCTATTTTTATTCAAAGCTTCATAAAACATCCACGTGATTACACCGGCATGGCCATCTCAGACACAAATGTAAACATGCCCATTCCTCCTGCTCCACACACACACCTTACTTCCAAGGGTCTCAGCATTCAACTTAGTAACTATTTATTCCTCAATCCAGTCTTTATCCCCGTTCTCAGTAGTCTAAATATTCTTATGGCATCATCTTATGCATGCACACACACATACTCATAAATCAGATAAACACGCAGACATATGCATACTCACACACTCATTCCTCTTTTTTCTAGGAACCCCCAAATCTTTTGCTTTATTACTTCATATTTATACTACAATCATTTTCCCAGATTGATTATTTACATAGCTGTTGACATCATCTTTCAATCTCACCTCCACTGTACCCAGATGAACGTATGTAAGTATAAACGACCCTCTTGTATGCCAAGCTGATAAGGGCACCTCAGACCCACAGGTCCTACCATTCTGCTCTTTGCTACCCTCAATTCTCCTGCAAGCCTTGAGTGCATCTATGAGTGTGTGGTACTTCCTACAGTCTATGAAAAGACAGCTCTGACACTGGTCCAGCAGTCTTGCTTTCTATAAGAAAGGAGAGCAATTGAACTTAACAGAGTCAAGCTTTCAAAACCCATTACCCTGATGGAAGCTTAGGAGAACACTAAAACAAGACTGATGCGTTGCCAGCCACAAAATGCTTTGCACTTAGATTTCAAATCTAATGTCCATTTCTTCAGTACTAAAGTAAATTAGTCCTTGAGATTCTTGGCAGGCCTGTTTTAAAATAGAAGATATATCATTGTGACTCAAGGTGAGCAAACACCTGTCACTTACCTCAAAAGAACTAACTTCAAGTTCTTCAAACTTTCCTGACAGAGACATTCCTGCACAGTTGACCAGCATGTCCACAGGACCCAGCTTCTCTTGTGCCTGGAAGAATAGTCCAGAACATTACATACTGTTCCAAACATTTCATGACAGAATGAAAGATTCACTGTGCAGAAAAACAAGGTCAATAAATAAAATCCACTGAACCACTGAACCTATAGGAAGAGTTGCCAACTCCAAGCCACATAGCAAAATAGTAAGAAGCAACCAGAAGTCAAGCAGTGAACTGAAATCACCCCGACCTGCCTCTTACTTGTTTTATGACATTCTCCACTTGGTTATAGTCTTGAGACACATCGACTGAGATACAAAGCACCACCTGTTAAAAAGGGAGAAGGGGGAGAGGTCAGGGCCTGCAAGGTGGCTCATCCGGTAAGGTTGCTTCCCATCAAGCCTGATGACCTGAGTTCTATCCTGGGGACCCACATAGTGGAAGAAGACAGAAGACAGACATCTTCGAGTTGTTCTTGTTCTCTCTCTCTCTCTCTCTCTCTCTCTCTCTCTCTCTCTCTCTCTCCTTCCCTCCCTCTCTTACTCACATTCACATACATACACACACACACACACACACACACACACACACACACACACACACAAAGTGTAAAAAATATTATTGGAGAAGCAGGTGTCAAAACTAGTGTTTTTTTGAGACTGGGTCTTGTTACACAGTCTGAGCTGGTCTTGAATTTAGATATAGCCCAGGATAGCTTGGGGCTCACAATGATCCTCCTGCTTCAGCCTTTCAAACACTGAGACTACAAAGCTACAGGTGCACCAAAATGCTTGGTCTATCAAAATCGTTTGTAAAACATACTTTTAAAAATTAAAGCCAATGCTTTCCAGTAATGAAGGCCAAATTTGGACATAAAATCTCAGTGTTTTAAATCTGCTGTCAGTGTGATTAATGGAAGAACACACCCACAAAATAATACGGCGGTACGGGGTTGTGACAAGGGACAGGGCAGTGGGTGCCACAGCGAGCAGCCAGGCATATGGAAAGTCTGGGACTAAATCTGTATCTGTGGTGCCGCGTTAAAGGCTTGGTCTGTGGCATTATTGGCAGGCGGTGGAACCTTCAACAAGGAGGGCCTAACAGCAAGAATGTAGGCCACTGAGGTGTGTCCTTGAAGGGCAGCGTGTACTGAGGACCCCCTCCCCCTTTTCCCAGCCATTGAGAGATGAGAAACTTTGCTTTTCGCCTTGCCCCAGACCCCAAAGTCACAGTCATTTTTGAGCATGTGTGTAAAGAGACCACAATGAAGGTTGCCATGACAGCAACAAACAAATACAAAAATGTGGAAGCAACTTAAACAGCCACCAACTACAGAACAGGTAAGTAGAAGTGGTTTGCACATACAACTGCATATCACATACCAATAACAGTGCATTTCAGTGAAGGTGGGTAGTAGGATGCATGCCTATTGTCATATCTAGTTAAGAAGTGGAGATGGGAGAATCATCTGAGCCTTGGGATTTGAGCCTAGCCTGGACAGCACAGCCATGGAAAGAATCATCTCAAAAAAAGAAAATAGCACATGAGCTATTTTATTCAGCAGCACAGATGAATTTTAAAAATAATATAGAATGAAGAAATAAAGTTGCATAACACTGCATAAAAATGTCATAATGTCACATCAATTTATCAAGCTATAAAGTTTATTGGTACTTGTCTAGGGCTAGGAGGGTAGGACAGGAATGGGGAGTGACTACTAATGGCGGAATGGAGACTTCAGTGTTGGGAACATTCCAAAGTTGATTGTGGTTATGGTTGCACAACTCTGTATGAAAACTCAGGAAATGTGTGTCTTAAGTAGAGCAATTGCACACTATGAGAATGGTCTCATTAAGGCAGGTTAAGAAAATAAGAATAATGCCAAAGTTCAAAAAGATGCAGAACTTTAAAATGTAAGTATATATAAGTACACACACACACATACATACGCATGCTATTGAGGGGCTGAGGTGGCTAGTTGGCCATGTGCTAGTTATGTAAGTCTGAGGGCCTTGAGTCTGCATCCCCAGCACCCACACAGGCTCAGTGCCGGGGATGCAGAGACAACCAAGGGGGCCTTGCTGGCCAGCAAGTCCAGTGGATTCATGAGCTCCAGGCTCACCAAAAGACCCTATCTCAAAAACCTAAGATGGAGAGAGACCAAGGAAGACATTCGGTGTCGATCTGTGGCTTCCACAAGTGTGCACATATGTGCACGCATGTCAGTACAGATGTACACACACAGGTGTATTCATTCACTCACACAAAACTCTATTTAGGGACTCACACACTACCACAGACGGTAAAAGTTTAAAGAAAAGCAAAGAATGGACAACCTCAGAGTCAAGTTTGAGGTGGTCTCTAGGAACAAGAGGCTGGTATCGGGCACAAAGGCTGGGGGAGAGGGGTTCAGAAACTCCATTACATCCCATTTCTTTAAACTAGATGATGGATGTGCAGCACTTATCTTGTCATTAAAATACACATTGCACTGCAGTTTGGTACCCCAAATTACACAACTAATTTCTTTTCATATGTTCTTTCCACCTAAGTATTCAAGGTTTTTTTGTTTGTTTGTTTTTTAAGTAGCTGAAATGAAATCATTTTCTCAAGCATCATTGCTTGGCCATTTTTAGGTATGTATGGAAGTCCATACCTTTTGGTTTCTGGACTGATCCAAATTCTAGTTATTTCAAACACTTTCATCTTTTAAAAGGCAGCCTAAAATATATTTTAATTGGGAAAGTCATAAATGCCTTCAGTGACCTACTTGCAGCAGAAGCAACATCCTTTCTCCCATTTAGACAACTGTCCGTCAGGTTAGAGAATGAATCCTACGGCGCCACCTCACCTGTTTATCATTAATAGAGTGCTTTTCGATTTCCTTCTTCGCCTGCAGCAGCTTGTCCTAAAAGCAACACAGAAACATTCTGTCTGTTTGCATTTGCTCAAAAGGAAAGAAAAGGCAACTGCTTGAACTAAGACTACGCTCTGCGGGACAGAACCTACAGTAGCTAACTCTGGGCTTGGACTGAGACTACGCTCTGCAGGACAGAACCTACAGTAGCCAACTCCGGGCTTGAGAAAGAGGCAAAATATGTGAGGCTATGGATAAGTCACAGCATGGTTTTAAATTCACTGCAGAGGTGAAAGAAAAACAACCGAACCTCAAATCCCAGTCAACGGCACTCATGGTCAGCCTATTGGTGCTAACAGACACTGTCACCCGCCGGTACTCGGCAGTGACAGAGCGTAAACACACAGCAACACAATGCTCTGCGAAGTTAAAGGTGTGTGGCTGCACACCAAGGGGGCTTATGCAGGATAACATCAGTATTCTCCTCCTTTCCTATAAAAACAGAGCAAAACTCAATCACTTTTTGGAAGGACTGGATGGATATACATCTGGGTATAAAATACTCCTCAGACCTACAGAGCTACCCAGATAATTGCCAAGTTTTTCCAAGTACCCCATTTTGTTCTGTTATTTTCAAATAAACAAGTCCAAGATTATAGAACCTAAATTTGTCATAGATTTAAATATAATTTGAAGGTGTAAAAGAACAAAGGAGGAGGGTCCCGAAGCCCTGCTCAATCCCCAGCAAGGCTAAAACCAAGCCTGGAGTTACACAGGAGGCAGCAGAGGTGGGCCAATGGGAAGTCTGACAAGGCCACCATCTGTTAGTCTGTGATACAATAAAGGGGGGAGGGGACAGGTATCTTCAAAGGACAAGTGGAGTTTGCAAACATGATGTCTATGACAAAATCATACATTCCTATTGAATGCTGGGGATTGAATACAGACTGCAAGGGACGGTTATGCGAAATTAAAGACTGTCTTCATGCCAGCAAGCCCTCTGCATGCTCACGCAAATATGACCGTGTGAGGATTCCAGCCTGCCACCTGCTCATTCGAAGCTCTCATGTCAAATTCTAGCCTTGCTAAAAACTCAACAAGTGGCATTTTACTACATCCGTGGTTCCATTCATGTTAGGTGACATTCAAGTGTGTACAACCAAACCCAGCCCCTTTCTGGATCATTATTTTTATAATTTTCTCCAGAGATTCTTTCTGGCCTGCCTTCTCCACTAGGCCTTTCCTTTTTTTTTTTTTTTTTTTTAGGTTTTTCGAGACAGGGTTTCTTTGGAGCCTTTGAGTGCTGGGATTAAAGGCATGCACCAACACCACCGGGCTAACTTTAGACATTACAACGCATTTGTTTGTTTGTTTTGTTTTGTTTTTCAGACAAAGTTTCCCTGTGTAGTTTTGGAGCCTGTCCTGGATCTCGCTCTGTAGACCAGGCTGACCTCGAACTCACAAAAGATCCGCCTGCCTCTGCCTCCTGAGTTCTAGGATTAAAGGCGCATGCCAATGCCACCTGGCAAAATAAACAATTTTTTTTTTGGTTGGTTGTTTTTTTGAGACAGGGTTTCTCTGTGAAGCTTTGGAATCTTTTCTGGAACTCACTCTGTAGCCCAGGCTGGCCTTGAACTCACAGAGGTCTGCCTGGCTCTGCCTCCCAAGTATTGGGATTAAAGGTGTGCGCCACCACTGCCCAGCTACCCACTAGGCCTTTTCAACTAACCACCCCTACCTAGGCAGCTAATCACTCATGCAGCGGTACCATACCTCATTTTCTCTTTCTCTTCCCTCTCCTTAAAGACAGAGTCTCTCGTAGGCGAGGCTAGCCTCTAATTAGCTGTACAGCTGAGGGTGACCTTGAACTTCTGATCCTTCTGCTTTTATACCTCTAGTGCTGGGGTTATAGACATGCATTTCATGCTGAGTTCTACCTGGAGTTGACTCACAAACCCTGGGGAAGCACTCAGCCAACTAACTATGCATGTTCCAAGTCCCTCCTTTCATTCCGTTGTTCAACAGAACTGTCTAGATCTGCTACAAGCCAAGCGAGCCCTATCCTCTGTAGTCAAGAACAGTGACCATAGAGCAGCCACTGCCCCAGCCCCGAAAAGGAACAAAGGGTTTCAGCCACTGCTTTACACTCTGAAAGCAACTTTAGCAAGACTACAGACCCCCAATATAAAGACAAACAGCCCCCTGAATTGGTTAGACACAGGAAAAAATACACTGCTACACATACTGGGAGGAATGAAACTCCGCTGGGGCATGTGGATGCCACCAAAGACGCCTATCATGTCATAAGCAAACTACAGGGAGAAATGACAGATAAACACCTACACACCACCCCGCACTGGCTTCTGCCAGCACATCTGTTTGCCTTCAGTAAGATGTACTCCTTAACAATGCCTTCAGTCTCCCCTCAAGTTCAGTCCTATCTCGAATGATAGTGCCTGGCATGTTAACAGCAGTAAATAAGAACCTGCTGAGCTGATCCGACTTCAGTAGAGAAGTCCTTGGCCTCAGTACAAGAAAGAACCAATAGTCCAGAAGTCACACCTCGGATCAGGGAGGAAGGCATCCCAACACAGGTGTGAGCACCAAGTCAGTCTCTCGGACTTACTGCGTTAGTAAGTCAGTCATGAGGACCCTGGAACACTTACCTCATTCCGTGCGACCAGAGTTATAAACGCTCCTTGTCTGAAGCACTCGATGGCAATGCACTTTCCGATGCCACTGGACCCTCCTGTGACCTACAAAGACACCAGGAAGATGTCTCAGCAGTGTCTCCTCTGTACAGAGCAGACTTAAAACAGCTGTGATGGGAAGGAGTGCAGCTCAGTTGTGGGCACTTGCCTAGTATTCATGAGGCCCCGGGTTTGATCTCCATATAACATATAACATAATTACGGGTTTTAAAAACTCCTCTACAAGCCGGGTATGGTGGCGCTCGCCCACAGGCCTAGCACTCGGTTGAGGATCCGCAGGGGATCGGGAGTTTAAGGTTGAAGCCATTCTCATGGACAGCTTCATGATACTAGGACTGTATGAGGCCCTGTCTCAGAAACAAAACAAACCATAACATCTGCGAGAATCACAACCTCTTTGTAGCAGATTTATCATTTGGAAGAGTGCAAGCATGAAGGATTACACCTCAGCAGGGCCTCCTGTTTTGATTGTTTTCAGTGAAGAGCTACAAACTGCACACTGTTTGAGGTCACCAAGAGGAATGTGCCCTACAATTCTACCTAAGAAAGAATACATTAGTGCTGCTGATTATAAATACAAACAAATCTCATTTCATTCCTGCACATCTACACAAGACTAGGTCTACGAAAACATGTCACAGGGCTAAGGCCAGTGGAAGAGCTCTCTTGCCTAAGACAGGCAAGGCCCTGGGCTTGATCCCAACGAAGACGCACGCACTCAACGTTATGTTGTCAATGTTCAAAGACTAAAAGGCTTTTACAATACTGCATTTAAAATGCTCCATCAAGACCAGGCAAAGCAGTGGTGGCACACACCTTTAATCCTAGCACTCTGGAGGCAGAGGCAGGCCAGTCTCTCTGTCTATATAGTGAGTTCCAGGACAGCAGGGCTATACAGTGAGATCCTCTCTTAAAAACAAACAAAACCCACCTCTGTCAAAATCTAGTCATTTTCCAGTCATACATTTGGATTACTGTGAATATTTTACTATTCTAAAACCATGCAGAAAGAACATCTCCCACACTATAATGTTCCTATCATCATGAAACCCTCCAAGCGTAGATATGTATCTCTGTGTACTTGAAAATACCTCATTTCTCTTTACCCTCACCTTGACTCTAATGGAGAGATTTACTTGGTAGATTATTAACCAAATGTCTACTGAGGATTATTATAAAAACGTACCTGTTGCCTTGGCTAAATGTTGTCTCTGGGGAGGCTTTTGATATCAGGATATTTTATGAGCTGTTTTGGCAGGGAATCTAAAATGTCCTCACATGCTTTACAACGCTGCCTTAGCTGTTGGCATCCCTCTATCACACATGACCCTACTGTCCCCACCTCCAGGAAGCTTTTCCTGAACACACCACTCTGTCTTCCTGGTTTGTCGCCATGCACCTTTCACAGCTATCTGGATACTCTTGGCTTCCTGGCTGGGCTATCAGATCCCTGAGGATAAATACCAAACCAGTCCATCTCACTCATCACTGAGAATGCCAGCCCCTCGTCCCCTCGCACAACCAGGCACTAAATAAACACTGTCCTTAATTTGCAGAATGTTCTCTAATGCCATTCCCACAAAGAAAACATGATGCCAAAGCTTATAAATAAAGTTTCCCTATTTATTGTTTAATAAATTGATGGAAGTGGAAATGAGGTTACCAAGAAAACTTTTATGCTCCAAAGGATTATGTAAATACCAGCCAGGAGTTTCAGAAAAGCAAATGGTGTTGATTCACTTTAAAGAAAACCAGAAGATCCATGCCCTGCAATTTATAATGCTCTCCATAACAGGAGTAAGACCTGGGTTTTGGATCAGGGTGTACAAAAATGATGTTCTTCTTGCCAAGCCAGCTACTTCTTGAGTGACATGTAAAGATACAGTCAGGCTAATCCTGGACTGTGTTGTTCTGGAGCTATGAGAGCTATCAGGGTTTTCACAATGGGTGAGAAAATGTTAAATGTATAGTCACCTGACAATCACTAAACAGAAGCCAGACGGAGGGCACTAAAGGTGCAGTCTAATTTCCCTTCCTTATATTCCCTCTTACTGATCACTGCAAATACCATTTAAATGATCGCATCTCTCTAACCACGGCATACAGCTCTCACTACGGGCACTACGAGCTTGCCTGCTGCACCTAGGGGTGAGAAGACCGGCACAGCTTCACTGCTGCGATCAGACAGGGGGCATCAGCATGTGGGAACTGCCCTAAAGATGAAGCAGAAAACAATCACAAGTTGTTCATGCTGACGCACAGGTGGACAGTGTAAGGTGCGGCTCCCGCTCCGGTAACAGGGCTCAGCTACGTCACATCTTACTCTTCTCAGGATATTAAAAGACAGATGGTGACATCATATGCATAATGCATGCCACGTCACGTCATTTACAGTTATCTACACAGAGATAATTTTACACATACACACACACACACACACACACACAATGTGTTATACTGAACTAGGATGCCGGAAAAGATTTTCGTGTCCATTGAAGCAGCCATTATCTCACCTGTGCGGGTGATGGGTAAAGGAGACAGAAGGACATCAAGGTTAGCTGAAAGTACCTTGTAAATGCTGGATCGAAATTTTCATTCTGACTTTGGCTCTCTTCCCCTTTCCCCTAGCTGAGCTCCTCTTTGTAAGCAAAAATTGTGAAAGAATTCAGCTCTGTGTGTATGTTGGTGCACCTGTGCAGAGGCCAAAGGTCAACGTCTGATGTTTCTTCGCTCACCTTCCACCTTAATTTTTGAGACAAGGCTTCTCACTGAACCTGGAGCTCACTCAAGTGTCTAGGCAAGCTGGTCAGTGACCTCCAGGGATCCACAGGTTCTGTGGCCTGTGACCCTCCTGGTGCTGGCGTCCTTAACTCAGGACCTGATGCACTGGCAAGCCCTGTACAAACCGAGCCGTTTCCCCAGCCCTTAATTCAACCGTTTTAGCTATGATTTGAAGCAGTTCTCTTGTGGATGTAAAACTTTCAAAACTTGGCATGATTGTAAAGGTTGGCCTTCTCTTTCCACATCGTGCGTAGCAGCGGCTGGGAATAAGTCAACAATTTTACAAAGGATAAATTAACGAAAACACACGTTGTCACCCACAAACCCCTGTATGGCATAAAGCACACTAAAATAAACAGCCACCCTAATCAGATGAGTGGGAACTCACGTGGATACATTCACATAAGTCACCTATGGGCGGGCACTCGGGACTGCCAGCTTAGAAACTAGCCATCCTTCTTCCCAACTCCTTGCCTCAGTGTGCCTCGGGTTGGGGGGTCCACACAAGACATGGATTTGAAATGGCCAGGGCTGAAGCTCTGAACTCGGGGGAGGAGGCATAACTAAGCCTGCATATTAGGAATGCGCAAGCTTCCGGCCAGAAACAAACCAAACCACTCATATCTCCTTCCATCTTAAGGCCCTAACCGAGCTGGTTAGCTCATCCTTCCGACGGTAAAGGATGCACTGGAGCAGCGTGATATCAGCAAGGCTCCTGCCGGCCCAAGCTGCCAGGCCACCCCTCAGGTGTGTCACTTCCTAGAACCCTCTGGCTCTGTCTCCTGCACATGCCACCCTCCAGTCTCAGCTGCCTGGGCCAGTCCCAGAGGCCCGGTCCCTTCCGTGCTGCGGGCTCCTTAGGACTCCCGGGGCAGTGGCTGCTCTCACTCGGGTTCGCGCCCTCATCCTGCCAGCCACCGACCGCTGTGTCCTTGGCAAAGTTTCTGAGTCTCTCTGTTGACTGACTCATCGGGAAAACTGAAGACCCAAACAGCCGCAACCAGGGATGCTCCGCGGAGCAGCGAGCAGCACAGAGCCCCCGAGCCCCGGGGAACTCGGCTGGCGCCTTCTCCGTGACACTGCTCTGCAGCCCAGGGAGGAGCCTGGCGCCGCCGAGGGCGGGTTCCCGAGGCCAGGAAGGGCAGGGCAGTGCCGGGGCGACGGTGGCCGCTGACCCTTCCCACTCAGCCGTCCCTTCCCGGGACCGTGGCCTCGGTGGCCCAAGCCGGCCAAGCCGCCCCGGGCAAGCTCAGCAACAGGAGGCCACTCACCACTACGTGCGCGCCGGGCAGCGCGAGGGGCTTGGGGCTGATGAGCGGCGACACCATGTAGAGGAGCAGCACGAAGGCCACGAGGCCGGCGGCGGCCAGCAGCAGCATCTCTCGGCCCGAGCGACCACAGGGAGATCACGCGCACCAGCAGCCCGGAGTGTTTGGGTTTGCGGGCGAGGGCGGCACCGCGGAGAGGGGAAGAGGAGGAGCCGGGGCCCTCCGCCGTCGGACTGGCTCCTGGGTCCGCGCCCCCCAGCGTCGGGACTCGGCTGCGCAGGCTCCGCACGGGTACCGTGGGCCCTCCGCCCACGTCGTGGGAGGTTTGCAAACGGTGGCTTTCGGATCTCCGGATCTTGTTCGTGCCACAGTCCCGCGATTCCACTCTGAAATCCCAGGTTCCAGTTCGTATATTCCTGGCGCACCTAGAAAACGGTCACGGCTCACTTTCGCTGTGCGCCTGGGCTGGGAGTTGTGATGATTGAGTTTCCCCAGGACGGTGTTCACCTTGTTATCAAGGCAGGTGCAATCGAAAACAAGCCGTCGTGGCGGAGATTTAATTCGCATACCAGAACACCGATTTAAAGTGGTTTTAGAATAGAGTGTCTCACTATCGCCACAACCAATTTGTCGCCCTCCACAGAACTTCTGTTGTCGTTAGCAGTTACACCCCATTTCCTCTTACGTTGTGCCCAGTCATAGGCAATCACAAACCTGTCTCTGGATTCGCCTATTCATACAAAATGGAGTTCTAATAATATGCCGTTTGTTGTGCTGGCTTCTTTGATTTAGCATAACTTTAAAGGTTCTTCCATAGTATGCCTAACAGTATTTAATTTCTTTTTACTGCCGACAGTATCCTACTGTATTTTTTTTTTCATTCATCACTTGCTCACTACCAACCCCAACAAACAAAACAATGCTACTGAGCCGGAAAGAAGGCTCAACAGGTAAGGGCTCTTGCTGTCAAGCCTCAAGATTATGTGCTGGATATCCTGGGACCCACATAATATAAGCGACTCTTGGAGGTTGTCCTCTGGCCTCCACTAGTGTGCTGTGGCATTCACTACCACCATCACATTCACTGAACAAATTTAGTAAAATCTACGGCAGTGTATAATTTCACACACAGCACGTGTGTGTGTGTGTGTGTGTGTGTGTGTGTGTGTGTGTGTTTTCATTTCTCTTGTGCTTAGTTGCAGGCTCCCATGCAAATCTGCTTAAGCCATGAGTTCCAGACCTTCCCACCCTCCACTCCAAGACTTCTTATCCTCTATATTATTAAAATTTTTCCCCTAGACACATCACTTTTTTGTGTGTGGTAAGGTATTTTTGTTTTCTTACTTTGTTTTTAAAAAGAAATGCAGTTGTGTTTACAAACAGCAAAAGGAATTCATCTTTTCCTCTCACTGATCTCAGTGCCCAGTATTAATCAACCTGATAGATTTGAGGACACAATCCGCTGAACTTCTAAAACTAGTAGCAAGTTGAAGGGTGGGAAGTTTGCCAGACAGCCTCCAGAGTTTGGGGAAAGCTGTTGTTCTTGTGGTTTTGTTTATCACAGGGTAAGGACACAGATCAGAGTTGGCCAAGAAGGGCACAGGGCAGAGTCTGGACAGCTCAAACACAAAGCTGCTGTTGTAGTCCCAGGCTGGGTGTGCTGCTTTAGTTGGCCTGCTTTGAAGTGTCCTTCAAAACCCAAAAAGACTCCAGGTGGAAGGAAGCTACCAGCCTAAGGTATCATTCTGCCAGACCAAAGGGTCACGCAATCAGGGCCTGGACAGAGCCGGAATGCAGCAGAGCCCCTATCTTTTGACCCTTCTGTGGCTGCTGTGTTTTGTTTTTCCCCAGGCTGGCTTGATGTTCAGCAATGTGCTTAGAGTGTGACCAACCAAGGAAACTCGCCCGCACATCAATGTTCAGAATTTTGATTGGAACCTCACCATATAGCCTTCACTAAAAGATGTCACTATGGTGGAACTCCATCTTTAAGCAAACTGGTAATGCATGGCCCAAAACAGTCACCTAAGTAACTTGGCTCATCTCACTGGCATCATCAGCCCCCCACTCTAAAGTCCTGTTTGGCCAGCCTCATTTAAAAATTCCAGCACTTGAGAGGTAAAGACAAGAGGATCAGCCATTAAGGTCATTCTCAGTCATACAGCAAGTTCAAGGTAGCCTAGGCTACCTGGTACCCTGTCTCAAAACAAAAACAACAGCAATAATGAAGTCCAAAGATAATGATTGTTACTAGGCTCTTGCTATACCAGTTGCAGTTCATCATGACCACATGACCAAAATAACTGGCAGAATTATACTACCTTGGGTTGACAGGTTCCCATCAGACTCTTCTGGGCCTTAGAAAATGATACTTGAAAAATGCTGTGTGGTAGTTTTGGGTATGGTAATCAATGGAAGGATTTTAAAAATATTAATTTAATTAAAATATCACTTTTCCCCTCCCTCTCATCCCTCTAGCCTCTCTCAAGTCCCTTCCCTCCAGTTCCTTCCATGTTCCTCCTCACTCTCAGATTAGTAGCCTCTTCTCTGATTATTAGTTACCTAATATGTGTGCACAGATCTATAAATGCAACCTGCGGAGCCCATTTTTGATGTCTGTGTGTATATGGTTTCGAGACTGACGGGGATCATCCCTGGGACATGAGAACTCTGCCTCTTTCCGCAGTCATCAATGGCCTGTAGTTTTCCTGTCCAGAGGTGGGAATGACCCCGTAAGACTTCTCCCTTCCTCATTAGCATGCCCATTGACACTGCCATTATCCAGGTCTTGTTTATGCAGTCCTTTCTATGACAGATTGTTTGACAGCACACTTCCTAGTATTATGGCTCTTATAATCTTTCTGCCCCCTTTCCATGACGTTCCCTGATGTTGCAAGAGCTGTGATGTATGTATCCACTGGGATGGGGCTCCCCATGATACATTAATCTCTGCACTGTGCTCAATGTAGTTTTCTGTGGTGGTCTCTATTTGCTGTAAAGAGAAGCTTATTGTCTGCTTATCCATGAGGAGGAAGAGCCTCGGGACTTTATCTGTATTCAAAACAGATTGCAAAAGGGGAAATAATCCCATGTCTTTGGGAAAAGGCTGAAGAAATAGAACCATACCTGTACAGACTTCCATTACAGGGCAGTATGCATCCCTTTGGGATCATTCAAGGTCCACAGGCAGCATCTGTCTCATTTGCCCAGTAATAACTCTTCAAAGAATCTAGATCCCTCCACTCCCTTCTGCGGTCAGCAAAGTGTATAAGCCTCAGAACAGAGCTGGGCTAGTGGGCAACCATATCCCTAGGACTGGCCCCCACACGGAGATGCTGATATTCTCTCTGTGCACTTCAATAGTCAGAGAACAGAGAGGAAACCTCCCTGGCCCCTACAGTCCTATCACTTTCTAAAACCAGAGAGTGGTCTTCAATCGTCCTGGCATCTGATACAATTAAGCTAAGAGATAATGAAATAATCAGTGTCTAAAAGTGTTAAGTTCTGAGACACCAGATCAGATCCCAGAACAGAATAATGAAATTAGTGGGACATTTGATGACCTTATAAGGAGTTGTAGTTTGGCTATCAGTATACCAAGAGTGATTCCTTGTTTTGGTTGCTGTATGAAGGTGTTGACAGCTAAGGGAACACTTCTTGTCTTTGATAGCAAACATCCCTCCTGCCTCCAAACTCCTGATGTGATTTGTATTGTCCTCAAATGTTAGCATCTGAATTATATAAAAGGTAAAATAAACATGGTCAGATTCTAAACCCAATTATAAGGACATGCAAGGGTGAGCATGTGCACTTACTCTTGGTAAAATTCAAGAACAATTAAAAAAATCCTAAGTGATTTCTGTCCTGCACACAGCCTGCAGGTTCTTTTCTGAAAGATAGGACAGAAATGTGTGTGGGTATTGATTCCATGGATCTGACCTACAGAAGCCTCAGGCACAAGCTGAGCTGTGTTAGCGCTGTTCATGTTTCCAGTTTATAAAGAGCTGCAAGACCCATCTAGGGTGACCAAGCAAGTCAGTGGCCTAGCTTTGGCACAAGATTAAATAAGATAATAAAAAGCAATCAGGATATATAATATTTTAAGACAATATTTTTTAAAACTCTAAATTAATGTAAAAATCTTGGAAAACAAAACTAAAGTTAAAAAAAAAAGACTAGTAAAAAGTATCTTACAACAGATGACGACAAGCAGAAGCTTGTAAAGGGCTATATTCCTATTGCCAAAACCCAAACACAATTAATTACCACCTCATTCTTGGTTGCTGCGAACTATTAATTAGCTTTTTCTGATATTAAAAATAAAGAATTCACTTCATACTCACCATGATGTCTATAATAAACAAGGGCAATAACAAATGCTGACAAGAATGAAGAGGCTAGAACTCTCAGGCAGTGCCAGTTGGAATGGAAAATAATGGAACACAGAATCACCATATGACCCACAAGATCAACTGCTGAAAACAGGGACTAAGAGAGACACCTGCACACCAATGTTGACAACAGTAGTGTTCACAACAGTCCAAAGCTAGGAAAGCTCCAAAGGTCCATCAACAGACGACAAACAAACCAAAATGGAATATTAATCAGTCTTAGAGGGGATGAAACTCTGACCTCAGCCAGCTTGATGAATCTTGAAAACATTCTGCTTGGTGAAACAAGCTGGACATCAAGGATCAAATATACAAGTGGCCTTAGGTATCTGGCTTATTTCATTTAGCACGATGCAGACAAATTCAGAAGAAACTGTGGAATAGAGGTTACCAGGAGCTGAGAGTGGCAGGGGATGATGAGAAAATCCTAGAGCTAAGACTAATACTGATGGATGAATACTTACACTTCAAAATGATTGCAATGGTAAATTCTGTGACATATTCTTTTTACCATAAAAAAAGAACATAAACAATACTTCATGAAATTTAGAAACCAAGAACAAATCAATTCATTTTATTACTCAGAAGTATATGCCATTAAGTTTTGGCTCAAGACTTTCCTCATGACATTTTCTTGATATAACTTCGCAATATTTGGTAGGGTTTATTAAAAGAAGCATTGTCTTTCTCTGTGTATTTTCCTTTCCCCGTGTGAAGGCAGCCAGGCTGTTAGGCTCCCTTGCCTCATATAAACAGACAAAGCATAATTGTCTATAAAATACTTTCCTGTCTCTTAGCTCTCTCTTGCCTCATCGATCACTGAAGAGATTAAGCTAAGTGGCTTCCAAAGCAGTAAGAGAGAAGGGACTTTGCAGGCAGGAATGGGGACATGGGTCTCATCTCACAAAAGTATTGGTTGTCTGATGGTGAGTCATCACTCTACCTCAGCTGCTGTATTCCTGCCCTTAGAGGTTAAACCCCAGAGGAACTGGCAGTAGCTTGAGTCTGAGGAAATACTGAGTGCTCCTTGGCAAATGATCTTTTTGAGTGTAATACATACATGTGTGTGCAGTATGCAAGGTCACAGGCACACTTGTAAAAGCTAGAGGAAGATGAGTGTCTTCCCCTACCACCATTTGCCCCTGGTGCAAAGTGTGTAGGAAATGCCAGCCTTCAGTCAAGCACCAAGCTCCCTCTTCAAAATCTTCCGGTCTTGTTTAACCACACTTGCTTTAGGGAGGTCTATGTTTAAGATAATTTTATTTTTTTTGGAGTGATTAATTTTGAAGTAAGTTAAGAATATTACGGTAATTCATGTCTCACTTCTCACCTGCAAAGTTGAGCATGAATCTTTTAAAATAAAGAACACTCACCAACAGTCACCAGAGCAATAGCATTTTCATGTCTGAGAGAACTCACAATTCTGTAGACGTTATCTAATATTACATTCATACCTTTTCAATTCCACCTTCCCTTTTTTATAAAACAGGGTCCAATCAAGGTTCAAATATTCTGCTGTCTTGAATTGTAGCTAAAGTAGTGTATGAGAATCACTACTCCCCACACCCCCAAAACTGGCTTTTTGGAGAAACCAGCCAATTTTCTGGAGAATAGCCCATGTATTTTGACTGATTCGTTCCTTGTGTTCTCTTCCCAGTAGATTCTGCAAGTAGGTCTACTGGCAGATTAGGTTCACATAAACACATTTCATGCTGCATGATTAGGAAGCCCATCACTGTCTTTCAACCCACACTTTTCTTATAATGTAATCTTGACATCCCTTCTGGTGATAGAGGTGATAGGTGGGAGGATTCTTGTCCTATCCATTTGAAACTGGATGTGCTCCTGTGACTATTTCAGCCACGAGTATGGTGACAGTGACTTTGAGTCTAGCTGGTAGAGGTGGTACAGCTCCACTTTGCTGTATGGTGCAGTTGCTTGGCAACTTTCAGTCACAGCGACCATGTAGCAATGACTTATCTCCGGCCAACATCATTTGGAAGCTCAGGCCAGCGTGTCCAGGAATATCACAGACAGAAGTCTTGTGCCTTCATAGAGCTGTCCAGCCCAAGAGCTTCAGCTCTCTGCTATTCCACTGCTTCAGGCAACTGTGTAAGGGACTCCTAGTGATGCAGAGACTTTTCTTACATTCCTGGTCCACAGGGTTTTGGACTGCTTGAAGTATAACACAGATTGAAATAATCTGAGTTATCCTACACCTTCTTATACTTTATATTGATTTACTGACCTTGTTTATTGTTCCTTTTACCTAAGCTTTGATTTAGGGGCTGAATTCTGAATCTTCTCCCACGAGTATAAAGATTTTGTGGGTGGCACTGACATTTCCTCCAGCTTTTTAGTCCCTAAAGTTGTTGAATACTTGTTTTTACATTATGTTAATGGAGTTCAGAGTAGACACTGTTAAGTTCAGTTTCAACCAATCAAGTAAGGGCCTACAACCACTGTTAGAAGCTCAAACCACAACGCAGTGCAGAATCTCTTGATTGAGTCCATGTTGATATATTACATTTGAATTGTAACTCTAAAAAAGGATTTACTGCATGTGTATGAGTATTCTGAATTAATGCATTTATGTGCACCACACGTGTGTCTATGGATTGATGGTGATGAGCTATCATTGGGGGTTGGGGCCAAACTCCAGTCCTCTGCAGGAACAGCAAATGCTCTCAACCACTACGCCAACTCAATCCCCCACTTTTGAAATTTGAAAATCCTCTTCCTGGTTGACCACCAATATGATCCATTTTTACACATCTTCCTGATATTTGCACTTACTCAGGTTCTTCTAAATGTTACAAATACATATATTCAAATATTTATGGATCTTGTTCTTTTGCTACTTTTCCCCCCTTTAACAATAAAAACACGGTAAGTCTGTATATACAACTAACACAATCTGGAAACCTGCAAGATCAAATATTGAGTTTATCTACATTATCTTAGTAGTGCAACTACAAGAAATGTTGAACACACTCAAGGGAGATCTCTGGGTTTCTATGCTTGTCTTAACCCCCCACCTGCTCTTAAAGTTTTTGTTTTGATTCTACTGCAGCTAGCTGCCAGGAAGCTTCTCAGTGTCCCTCGCTGAGCACTCCATTCCACATGAAAATGGGCAGTACAGTTTCCTATTAAATGCTATTGTTAGCCACAATCCTTTTCTTTCTTTCGTTTTCCTCTGCTCTATGTAACAGCCCTGGCTGTCCTGGAACTCTCTTTGTAGACCAAACTGGGGTCAAACTTAAGAGATCTGCCTGCTTCTGCCTCCTGAGTGCTAAGATTGAAGGTGTGTGCCTCCACCAAAATGCAATCCTATTTTCAATGCCTTGTTCATCTTTGTTCAAGATGTTCAAAGTGAAGGACTGGGATGGTACCACCTGCTAAGCCATGGACATGGATGAAGGAAGAAAGGATCTCTGCATTTGAGATCTCAAAGTGGAGGCCAGAGCCTGCCTCAGACCAACAAGGCAGTTTGTATGGACAGAACCTGTCTAAAGGGCATTTGACTGATAACTAACTTTATGATTGTTTTTCTGTCTTAGAAAAAATGTTTTCTGTTATATACCAGAGCTTGAGACTAACTTCTATCATCACCTGTCATTTTTACTGATTTTTATTTGGGGAGATTAAAAGTATTTAAAGATATATAAAAACAGGCATTCATATTCCCTAATACTTTTATCACTAGACTTAAGTACTATTAGCTCCTCCCTCCATTGAACAAGCGTGTAAATATTTTTATTTAAGTATGTTGTGTGCTAGAGTTATTAGACAAGGTGTATGCTCTACATTTTATACTTTATACAAATTTTAAAACATACACTCTAACATATTTGTCTAGTTTTGAAATTCACATATTTTTACCTGATATACAGTATTTATAAAACAAATAAAATCTTCTGCCACGAGCAACATTCATTCCAAGCTGTACTTGGTACCAAGTGCCTATAGTTCTAGCACCTGGGAGGTGACACGGGAGGTCACTTGAGATCAGGCAATGAAATAGGATCTCATCTCAAAATAAACAAAGAGCCCTATTCCTTCCAAGTCTTAGCCCAACCCAAAGAAACTCACTGGCAATGCTCGGCCCCTGGGGCAGCTTTGTGGCAAAGGGTGCTTTTTAGTGTGAGCTGCATTCATCTTGGCTTCCTGCCAGCAGACAGTGGCCTCAGAAGTCAATTCTCTGCTGGCATATCGGACAGTGTCTGTGATTTCTCAGACTGGGACAAAACACTTCTAATCATGTGGTGTGCAGCTCATAAAGATGAGCAGCCATGAGGGTCTTGTTTGCTCAGAAAATGTCAGCCTAAAACTATAATGGTCAAGAACCGGAGCAGAGCAGGTACACAAAAGCTACTTTGCTTTCTTAGACAAAGAACACATGAAGGGCTGGCAAGATAGCTCAGTGCACAGAAGCGTGGAGGGAGAGAAATGACTCCACAAAGGCATCCTGATGTCTACACATGTGCCCCCACATATCATGAAACACAGACACACAAATATGAAAATGGCTTATGAAGCAAATCCTACCATTCCAGAAGTGTAATGGTATTAGATTCCACAAACAAATCTATTCCCTAAAAAAGATTTAGGGACTGGAGCAGTATCTCCAAACACAGCAACACAGAGGTCTTAAAGAATATACAACAATTAAGTGGGAGGGGCTGAGCATAGTGACGAACACCTTTTAGCACTTGGGAAATAGAAGAAGGTGGTAAGTCTGAGTTTGAGGCCAGCATGGTCTACACAGCGGAGTTTCAAGACATCTAGGGCTACATAGTAAGATCTTGTTTGTGAAAAATAAAGTACAATTAAAGTATCCACTTATCAACACTATTCTTACACACCATTAGGTGATATATTTGACTAATTTATACAGAATAGTTCTTTGAACTTAAGATTCACAAAAATTCTTATTTTAAGTATATTTAAATAAATTTATATTAATTCTTATTGTTCAGAGACTGACGAAACTCATGTGGTAGTTTGAATAACAATGACCCCTAGATGGTTCATGTATTTAAATGCTTAGTCATCAGGTGTAGCACTACTTGAGAAGGATGGAATAGGGGTGGCCTTGCTGGAGGAAGTGTATCACTGGCAGTGGGCTTTGATGTTTTCAGAAGCCCAAGCCAGGCCCAGTGGCCTTCTCTTTTCCTGCTGCCTACAGATCTAATGGAGAACTCTCAGCTCCTTCCTCATCACCACAATGATCAGCATTCAGCCATGCTCCCCACCATGACAATGGCCTAAACTTCTGAAACTGTAGGCAAGCCCCAATCCTTTATAAGAGTTGCCTTGGTCATAATGTCTCTTTACAGCAATAGAAAACTAAGACACTACACAAACCAATTCATTTAGAAAGAATTCAGTGTTGTTCTGCTAAGGTAACTTACAGCTCTCACACTGCAGCTGTTGAAGAGTATAATTTTTATTTTCTTTTAAAGACAGAGACTTGCTATGGACACCAGGCTGGCCTTGAACTCATGAGATTACAGGTGTGCATGTCCATCCCTGATTCTTTAATACATACTCATTAGTAATTATACTTTTTTTTTTTTTTTGGAGACAGGGTTTCTCTGTGTAGCTTACTCTGTAGCCCAGGCTGGCCTCAAACTCATAGATATCCGCCTGCTTCTGCCTCCTGCATGCTGGCATTAAAGGCGTGCACCACCACTGCCCGGCTGTCGTTAGTAATTATAACTTATTTTTATCTAATTTATTCTTTTAATTAATTTAGACATTGTCTCCTATGTAGAAGGTCCCAAAATAAAGAATACGCAAGATAGCCAAAAGTAGGTTATAGCAATTTACTTCACATAAGAACAGTATATTTCAGGCCTACAATTTTCATTGAATATCAACAAAAATAATCTGTACAGAAAACCTAAAGGCAATCATATAGCATAGCATGTAAAATGTGCAAATATACTTTAAAATGCAATTACTGTGTAGCACTTGCAAGGTAGAACTGCTTAGCAATTCTAGTTAATCTAGTAATTGTTTGCATGTAGTCAATGCAAATGTCCAAGGCACAACTCAGAGTTGGTGCACAAGTGTGTGACACACACCCTCAGATCATTTATTTGAAGACATTAAAATAACATGATGCTATGTTTAATGAGACATCAGTTTATCTCTAAAGCTTCATGAAATACCATACTGATAATGCTTGTGTGGCTAGGACAAACTGCTCCCTGAACTTAAAAGTAAAAGACAAGATTCTCGCTATCCTATATTTAAAAAATTATATATGTATATGTATATATATATATATATATATACACACACATCCACACCCACATCATACACAGGAAACATCCTAAAGTACAAAGGGAAGCCACTTTCTTATTATTAAAGGTTCCCATTACAGCATCTCACAACAAGACAAAAATGTATACTTCTTTGCCACCTTTTGGTCAATCTTGGCTACAAAAAGACACTGAAGTAGACAACTTTCTTCTTCAAGGTGAAGATGATGACTAACTTAGAAAGTCTCGAGTGCACAGTGAAAAGTGTCATGTGGATATAAAAGCCTGCTGCTTTAGAGGAATCACTTTAATCTACACAGGAAGAACCAACACATTAAAGTCAGCGGGAGCACTGGCTGTGGCACAAACTCCCCATCATCACAGTGCTCTGTGCTTTACCGCCCATCCCTGAGAGTAAAGAGTCTACCATTTTTAATTTTTAATAAAGCAATAACTTTACAGTGATAAGAACGCTTAAAGATTTTCTCAAGGTATTTATATATCATTAGCTTTAGCCCTATTGCAATTTCCTTTAAAAAAAGGAAGAAAGATAGTAAAGACTCTGCTCTTTGAGAGAGTGCTCATGAACCCTAAGCGGCAATCCAGCCAAGCTCGAGGCTCTCCTCACTGTTTGAATTCTCTGCCACGGCTCACTCCTTACAATTTTACAACTTTTGTTAACTGGAGAATTTAGCAGGTAGTGTAGGAAAAGCACAACGCAAGCTTAAAGGAACACTGAAGTGAGATGTATGTTTTCCTGTGTAAAAGAGTTTTACTGAAAATAATCTGAATGTCATCCAAGAAAGGCAAAATACCTACAAAAGAGAAGAAATGCAGAGTAAACATGGTCTTGCTGCCTTTGCGTTAGCCTTCCTGGCCAAAATCCTCTGTAAACTTCTTTAATTTCAACAAGTCATGGTCATTGACGGTAGGTTTTGTGCTAGACAAAGACCGTAGCATATCCCACTGTTAGAGAAAAGGAGGGCATTAATAATAGACTTAACACAGTAAAAACAGAGTTATTAGTTATTAGTTACTAATTTACAGTCAAACAGGAAACTCTGCAGTGTCTTGAGCTCCTAAGGCAAATCCCTTTCTCCTCCTCTATGTACCTCCGAAGCTCATTACCTACTGCAAGGACAGTTCTAGCAGCCCGGAGATCAACACCGTCCACAGTCCGGCCATGATCTCATTCCTAGCCTACCTCTTTCCCTTCAACAAGAGGTCTGTTTCCCACCAAGTGTAACTCAGAAGGAAAATGGTAACTGCCCAAGAAATTAATAATTTATTACAATCTCTGTGGACATTTGTAACTGAAGCAGCAAATTCTGAAAGTCAAGTCCATTAGCTTTTTTTTTTTTTTTTTTTTTTAAAGATTTATTTATTTATTTATTTATTTATTTATTGTGTATACAGCAAGTATGACTGCAGGCCAGAAGAGGGCACCAGATCTCATTACAGCTGGTTTTGAGCCACCATGTGGTTGCTGGGAATTGAACTCAGGACCTCTGGAAGAGCAGCCAGTGCTCTTCACCACTGAGCCATCTCTCCCCATTAGCTTTTCAATAACAGAAAATCCTCTACATTATTTTAATCCTTCCAATGAAAACTGAGAACTGCATTTGGTAGCAACATCATTACATTCCTTTTGAATTGTACTGACTGAATCATACTCCTTTTTACTACAAAAACACATTTATGTAATTCACCCAGTTTTACTTAAATGAAGGAATGCTATTGAGTAATACAAATTTTTAAGTTAAAACTACTAGTGAAACTGAAAATACGCTAATATCTGAAAGTCATTAAAAATAAATGGTTCTTGTAAAATTGCATGGCAAATGAAATAAGAAAACATTCTAAGTTGCTGTGAATTCTTCAAAGCAGGACAGAACACAACAACTTAAAAAATAATCTAACCTATCAAAGACTGCAACACAAGGGATTTCTGAATAATTTTAGATAAGCACTGCTGAGACACATGTAGCGTGACACATGTTCCTGTGAAACACACCACAACACTCTGAAAACTGGCAGCCAGAGCAGAAAAAGTTTACAACTGGAGTGTTGTAACCAAATCAGCAACCAAACAGACTTTTCCAGCACCCCAGCTCTCTAAGATACTTCTTACATAACAAACCTGATGAGTTACTTTTATTCCTATGATGTAAATGTATAGATAAAATAAAAAAATCTTTTTTAAGTCTTATATAGCATTTGAAAAAAGGGTTAAATGTTTTCAGTTGAAAATTTAAAGAACTGTATTATTTAAACTTTCTATGCAGCCTTAAGAAGTAAAACAAAAACAATACTATTTATAAATACAAGAGTTGATACCTCTGGTTATTTTAAAACATGAGATTCAGGGGCAAAACTTGTATTTTATTTAAGTTCTAACAATATTTTATACAATATATGTGAGAATTATGTGAATGACTTATAAAGTCAGAAAATTGTGCTTTCAAAATATAGCCTTTTCAATTAACGTAAGTCTCACAACTTAAGATAATTATTTTTACATCTAAGCACAACTAATATTTATAAGTCTTCAAGTATTAAATACATGAGCCTGATCATAAAATTCTCTAACTGGTGTTACAGAATGAAATGTGACTATAGATTTAAGATGTCATACCATGGAAACAACTGGCTCCAAGAGTTTATCTCCAGGGACATCCATCCATGTCATTTCCACAGCCCCGGGATCTCCTGGAGAGCAGGGGGTTAGCAGGTCATTTACAATGCAGTTAGGATCAGCTCTTGAGGGTCCACGAACCTGTAATCACAGTAACTTGAATTTATCTGAATAAATGAAATAAGAATTAAGAGATTGGTCATTATCAGGAAAATTAAAAATATATTAATTTTTATGTTGTATTAAAATGTTTACTCCAGGAAAAATAGAATATATAGGGAAAAATGTTATCAATCATTTGGTTGATTTAAAATTCTTTAGATTTTGGCTGATTTAAAATTTTTCTTGATTCATTTCTATAGCTTGATATTTCATACAATAACTCATGTGATTATTGGGGCTCAAAGGGAGCGAGGTTCTGAAAGAGAAGCAGTTATTTCTGGCTACCCTTCCTCTTCTTTCCCCAATGCTTATTAAATCGTAGTCACCTTACAAATCAAAACAAACATATTACAAAACTCTCCTAAATTGCTCTTTTCCACGGCTGAAAAACTTGTGACATTTTGCAGGACTATTTAGTCTTAAATTATTCAATATTTTTGTCTCTTTTAACAAAAACTTAAAACAAAACAAAACAAAAAAAACCTCCCTGTTTGGTGGTTTCAATGAAACTGTCCCCCACAGTCTCATGTATTTGAATGTGTGGTTCCCAGTTTAGGAAGGATTAGGAGGTGTGGCCTTGTTGAGGAGGTGTGTTACTGGGGGTGGGTTTTGAGGTCTCAAAAGCCCATGACAAACCCAGTTTGTCTCTCTCTGTCTCCAATTTGTAGATAAAATGTGAGCTCTCAGCTACTGCTCCAGGACCCTGCCTGCCTGCCTGCTGCCCTGCTCCCTGCCATGATGGTCATGGGCTCACTCTCAGAAACAGTTAAATGCTTTCTGTTATCAACTGTCTTGGTGTCTCTTCACAGCAATAGAAAGTAACTAAGACAGCATGTAAGTGCTGTACTGGGTAGTTTTTTGTCAACTTGACACAAGGTAGAACTTTGGGAAGAAGGAACTTCAACTGAGAAAAAGACTTGTATCAGACTGGCCTACAGGAAAGCTTACAAACCATTTTCTTGATTAATGATTTGTGTGGGAGGACCCAGCCCACTGTGGACTGTATCATCTCTGGGCAGATGGTCCTGGTGTATATAAGAAAGGAGTGCCAGGAAGCAGCACTCTCCATGGCCTCTGCATCTATTTCTGTCTCCAGGTTCCTGCTCTGACTTCTTTTGACCATGGACTATAATCAGAACCAGAAGAAATAACCTCTTTCCTCCCCAGACCGCTTTTAGTTATGGTTTTACCATATCAACAGAAGGCAAACTAGGACAAAAATGAAATTAAATACCTAATAATTGCTATGTCATTTCATGAAACATAACATAGCTAAAAAAAGAGTTTAGCAATTTCTAGAAAAAGAACTTTTGTAACAAAGTTGCATACACATATTTATGGCAAAACATTTGTATCAAATTGGAGTTGCTTTCAAGTTTGTTTCATTTGATTAACTTTTTTTGGGATTGGTGCAGGTGTAAAGTACACCTTCTCAGCTGGCTGTGAACACACTCACACTTAGTTTACTTGTGTTTATGTCAATCTTTATTACCCAGATACATGAGATCGGAGATTTTTGTCTGGTTTTGGCTGTTTACATCCTGGTATGGTGCAAATATACCAGATTCTGCTCCAAGTTGCTCTGGCTTCCCCAAAAGCAGGTTCTCAACCATCAGAATGACCCAGACATGCCTCAAGTCACTTCACAGAAAACACAGTACTTTAGGACCATAAATCTTCACTGGAAAAATTTTCTTTCTTTTTTTTCTAGTCTTTAGAGACAGAGTTTCTCTGTGTAGCCCTGGAACTCACTCTGTAGACCACACTGGCCTTTGAACTCACACGGATCCACCTGCCTGTGCTTCCCAAGTGCTGGGATTAAAGGCATGCGTCACCATGCCCAGTGAAGAATTATTTTCAGTGCAACAGAAATAAATTTATTACACAAATCTACTTATTACATTCCATACACTGCAGCCATTCCAGCTCCTCTGAGAACAAGCCAGGAGTAGTCCCGAAGCTTCATCTGAAAGAACAGGACAGGGCAGACTAACCCTGCTTACCTTTTTGAAATGAGTAGCTGACTGAACTTTCCTGACAGGCTGCATAAGTGCATCCCGTACAATGATACTTATATCTGCTCCTGAATAGCCGTCCGTCTTCCTCCCAAGTTCTTGGAAGTCTGCTTCTGTGAGGCTGTTCTGAGTGCTGCCCAAGTGTAGTTTAAACATGGCTGCACGGGCATGTGCTTCAGGCAAAGGAATGTAAATACGTTTCTCAAATCTTAAAAGAAATTATACAAGTGATGTTAAATATATATGCTTAATTTCAATGTAAAATTCGTATATTTAGGAAAACCACAGGCATTTAGTTAGATATTCTCAACTGTACCAAGTCAGGATAAACAACACCAGAGTTAAACACCCATATATTTAAGTGCATGTACGTACACACAGATACCTGCCTACCTCAAGGGGAGACTATCTATGATATACCAAAAACTAAAATTAGAAGCAAAATAGTCAGGAAACAAGTTTTGACTGGTTTAATCTTTCAAACGCAACTTTTGGATCATTTTTGACTGTTTGCATCTGGAATTCATGGCATAAAGGCAGGTCTCACAAAACCTGCACTCTGAACTTGTGATGAACAGAGTAATGATTCATAATATAAAATAAGGATTACCATAATTCTCTAAGTTCAAAATAGTGAAACTGTAGCAGGAATCTTAAAGGTACTTGTTAATAAAATCAAACCTGAGGCCAGTTATTGGGGTGAACGCTGGAAGATCAGAGAAACAGAACAAGCCACAGCTACCTCACCTTGCCAGTTCCTCAGCTGATCCTGTTTCCTCAGGCTGGAAGCCTCTGAGTCCTCATTCGAATGGGTCTCAGCTGAACTGCTGCTCAAAAGCCTGAAAGCTTAACCAGCCAAATGCTTCTAGTTTCTGGTCTTCACACCTTATATACCTTTCTCTTTCTGCCGTCACTCCCTGGGAGTAAAGGCGTGAGTCACCATGCTTGGCTGTATCCTTGAATAGATGGATTTCTGCCTCTGGAATGCTAGGATTAAAGGCGTGTGCTACCACTGCCTATCCTCTATGTTTAATATTGTGGCTGTTCTGTCTCTGACCCCAGATAAGTTTATTAGGGTGCATAATACTTTGGGGAACACAATACCACCACATTTCCCTTTTTTTTGTCTAAAATTAAAAAAAGATTGTAACTAATGCAAGAAAAACTATCCAATAAGTATATACAGTCAAGAGTTACATTAACAATGTCTAGTCCACTAACATTTGACAGATTCCGATAAAAACTCCATTTTGACAATGTCCAGTCCAATAATATTTGATAAACTCGGACAACAATTTTCATTACGTATCCTATGTAAAACAAGTAGTTCCCTTTTAAAAGTATTTTTCCTTTTCATAACAGATTCAGTAATCTACCTTTTGTCATTTTTTTATCTTCCCCCTTTTTCTTTTTAGAGTAGATTCAATTATCTACTCCTTTATCTTATTATTTCTTTATCTTTTTTCTCAGAGTAGACTCAATGATCTACCTCACAAAACTACTTAAAATCTTACAGACTAAGCATGACACAAATGTTCTTTTCACTGAGTTCATTCTGAATAGTCTTGTACTATTATATAAGTAGTTTATTAATACTTGTGGTAGTGGTTTAAAAGAAAATGGCCCCCAAAGGGAGTGGCACTATTAGGAGGTGGGCTTTGAGGTCTCATATACGCTCAAGATTCCACCCAGTGTCACAGACCACTTCATGTGGCCTACAAGATGTAAGACTCTCAGCTACTCTCAGTCTGCCAGCACACCACCATGTCCCACCAGGATAAAAATGGACTGAATCTCTGAACTGTAAGTGAGAAGTGAGCCCCCTCAATAAATGTTTTCCTTATATGAGTTGCTGTGGTCATGGTGTCTCTTCACAGCAACAGAGAGCCTAACTAAGACACTTGCCTTCATAAAGTTCAGGCATTTGGAAACAGAGAGGAAGCAAGGAAGAACAACTGTTTGCAGACTCACTGTGGCAGAGATACTGTAAAGTTTCTCTTACCTTTACATAGACTTGCTCTGGAATCAGGCCACTTTCTAAAACTGCCTAACACAGTTCCTCTGGTGGTACTGGATGCTAATTTAGCATGCTGTCAAATCAACAAATGAGGCAATAAAAGGGGCACACACTTAAGTGCTCTTTCCATCATGCAATTGAAGAATGCTTTAGGGAGCTACAGAGCTGTGCTGAAGCTTCAATTTCGCCTTAAAAATGACAGACTTTTGTTGTTGTTTTAATAGTATTTATATAGTCTAAGCTAGCCTAGAACTTGCTACACAGCTGAAGATGACCTTAAGTTCTTAGGTCTCCTTCCTTCTAAGTGCTGGGATTACAGATGATTGCCACTTCGCCAAATAATAGACAGAAACCTATTCCTTTTAATTAAATTTTTTCCTAAAAAAATATATCTTCCTAGCCAAGCATGGTAGCTCATGCCTATAATCCCAGCATGGCTGAAGTAGGAGAGTTGCTTTGAGTCGAGGCTAGCCTGAGCTACAGATTAAGCAGCAAGAGTAATAACTCATTTTTCCATGGACATCAATATGGTCCCCAGCAGCAGCCTAGTCTATAGACCTCAACATGACTTCAGAAGGCAGCATAGACCACAGACATCCATGTGGCCTTAGGTGGTAACATGGACCACAGACATCAACATGGCCTTCTGATCTCTGTTCCTGCTGACTGTAAAGGGCAAGGAAGCTTCTTTTGCAGTGGTATCAATGACTGCAGACTCACAGTTGAGAAAAAGAGACACAGAAAGCTTCTATGACAACCCCCACCCCCAAAAGTAACAGCCTAGACAGGAAGCCATAAAAGAGAACTCTTAAAAATTGGGATAAGGATGCTGAAATGTAGCTCTCCACAAATTGTGGCTTACGGCAGGGATGGAGGTAGAGAAGGACTCTGTTTTCTTTAAGGGGCTGGACATTGAAAATTTGACCATGCTCCAGTGACTATATGGACAACACAAATTGAACTTGTTTTTTCTTTTTTTGGGGGGGGAGGGGTGGTCACAATGATGGGGAGACAGATCTTTGAGAACTGGGAGGTGAGTGCAAAAACTCCCAAATAATCAATAAAAATATTGTGTTTGGAAAAAGAAATCATTTTGCAAAACTTTAGATGGAGGATTTTCACTGAGATACAGAACTGCTTTTGTCAATTTTGAAGTATCATCCATCTTAAACTTAATCAAAACTAAAATTAAGGATAGACACCAAGCAATGTACTTCTAAGTGGAAGACTGCAGTATGTGGAGTGCTTATCTTCATTATAACCAGCAAACAAATAAGCAACTGTCATTCTTCCTCTTCCAACACATGGGGAGAAAGAGGGCTAGGACTGACTAATAAAAAGGATTCAAAAATAAAAAGAAAAATCTGAAAAGTTATCAGAATAAATTCCTATAAAGGAAAGGGATAGTATCATTTATTGCTATGCTGTGGTTAGAAATAAGATGTTTATTCTATCATCATACCTTCGCCTAATTGCAGAATCCAGAACCCAGGGTATATTTGTAGCTCCCAGAACCAAAATGCCATCATTGTCCACACCAACTCCTGCATTAAAATAGGTAAGATTTTAAATAATAATTTGATGCTTTCTTTTTTTTTAAAAGTCACTGGTGTATACTCACTACAGACAATATTGTCACATCAAGCCATTTTCAAAGATGTATGTAAGGCACTCGGAGCACACTCCCCAATGGCCCATCTCTCCCTTTCCATCAGCTCCTTTTGTTCCCTCAGGCAGTTTCTTCTACTTTCATTATTATTCATAAAATCCAGTAACCACAAATAGGAGAAAATATGATATTTGTCTTCCTGAGACTGACTTAGTTTGCTTAAAATAAGATTATATACAGTTATATCCATTCTTCTGCAAATGATACAATTTCATTCTTTGCAGCTAAAAAATAAATTCCATCGCACACATGCGCGCGCGTTTGTAATCTACTCTCCACACTCTTGTGTATGTTCCATTAAGAAGGTAGTGCTTATGTAACACTCAAGTACTTCATCTTTACAAAAACGCAACTAACCAAAAACCACACTGCTCAAGTACCAATTACACTGTCTTAAGAAGCAAATCTTCTAGATTATGGACAAATATTATTAATACTCTTTTCAAAATATTCTTTCATGCAGCTCCTGGTACATGAGTAGAGATATAATCACTTTACTAATAATATCTGTGAATTCTACAAGATAATTACAAAACTGATACACTACGCAGGGAGTGGTGGTGCGTATCTTTAATCTCAGTGCTCGGGAGGCAGAGTGGGTATCTATGGGGCTAGCTTGGTCTATGTCATTAAAGGACAGCCAGGGCTACATAATGAGATCCTGTCTGAAAACACAAACAAGAATGGCAATAATAGTTTTTCAGGAAATTCTGCTGAAATTCTTTTCCCAGTAATGGTTAAACAAGAATCAGAGGCTATCTTAAAAACCAGCAACACTAACCTTGCATTTGAACCAGGAATTCCGTCTTAATTCGGCGTGCAGCTTCACTTTCGTTTTCACTTCTTGAGCCACACAGAGAGTCAATTTCATCAATGAAGATAATGGAAGGCTTGTTTTCTCTGGCAAGTTGGAATAAGTTCTTAACCAGTCTAAAAATAAAAATAAATAAAGCTGGTAGTTTGTAAACAGTACAAAATGACCACAACAAGGCAACATACCAATATTATAAGAACCACAAAGACCGAAGGCCGAATCATGCTTCAGGGGAATAAAACAATAAATTAGGAGATACTAGATAATTCACTAAGTTATATACACACAGACACATGCACACGTGCAGGCGCGCGCACACACACACACACACACACACACACACACACACACACACGTACAAATGCACACACATAACTAGCTTTTTTCCCCTACAAAATAAATTCCCAGCTAGGTACTGAGCTTGACAGAGAAATGAAGACCTACAATGCATTCCTTCCCTGAGTGTTTAGCAATGGTATACGAAGTCTATTAATGCACATATTGACAAGGTGACTGACACCAGAGACCCAAGTGAAAACTCAATGCATCACTTACTTTTCACTTTCCCCCAGCCACTTAGAGACAAGGTCAGAGGAAGATATTGAGAAAAACGTTGAGTTGTTTGCTTCTGTTGCAACGGCTTTGGCTAAATAGGATTTTCCTGTTCCTGGTGGCCCAAACAACAGGATCCCTCTCCAAGGTGTCCTCTTTCCTACAAGTTGTATTAGAAAAATAGCATGAGGACTTCAGTTACTGCAGACACTGTCCACACTGAAGGTCTTCATTTGAAAGCTCTCAGTAAGATTAAAAAGATACTTTAAAACTGATCAGTCTAAGGTATGTCTTAAGTATGCAACTTGCTCTTTCTGGAGACATCATCAAAAACACATTCACAGAAATACTGACCTCCTAATAGGAAGTTCATTTACTTGCTCACTCATCTGCTCAACTAATGTATGGAAACCACAATGCATGAAAGAGACAGACAAAAGAATCTCTGCTCCGCAGGGAGAGAAAGTTCAGTTAAAGGGTCCTGCTCCACACTAGACTAATGCAGGAAAAGCACACCCACAGAACAGAGGCAGCTGCAAAGCCTTGCTTCTAAATATCTGTCTCCTGTGGAGGATGCCTAGGTGCAACACTCACGTCTGGAGGACTCATGAGATCTAATGAGTTCCTAATTTACCAGGAAACACAGGCTAGTATGACAATCAGCAGCTTCAGTGGTTGGGTAATGATATGGGAGGTATCACTGTAAATCCTAATTCTGCTTAAAGGAAACAAGGTGGGGGGAGTCAACTTTTTGTGCCTTAATTTGGCTAATCAGACATTATGGTGTTCCCTAAAATATAGTAGGCTATATAGAATTAGACAATATAAATTTTAAAATCCACATACAAACTGCAGATGGGTACCCACTGTCTGCAGCAGAACCATCCCTAGATGACTAATGCAAAAACTAACTAATACTGCTTTGATTATGAAAGGCTTGGCTTTCATGTTGAATTCTGCTTTTCTCTTTTAAATGCACATACCTATAAGGCAGTGTTGCCCAGTGCACAGAAACACTGGAAGGATAAGAAATGATATTAGGTAGTGTATACTTTTTTTAAAAGTGATTACCTTTTTTAAATGTATGTTAGATAGACACTATTTTTTTCATTCATGGTAAATAGTAAGCAGTTTTAAAAATAATTATAATCAAGTAAAAATAAACGAGAAAATCTGAAGTTCAAATATAGGCAAAAATCTGTGTATGAACTGTTGTATGTCATACCCAGAGCTCAACCAGATTTCTGAACCTTTACAGGATTATAATGTAATTTTTATTCTATCAGTTTTATATCCTTGCGATGGGCTATAAGCAGTGCCCTGAGCTAGAGAGGTGAGATGCAGCCCACAGATTCTTTGTTCTATCTGCTCTCTGTGACATCACTGTCTAAACCTGCTCAGTTTGCAGTCAACATCACAAATGTGTTCTCTACACAAACCAGCTTGTTTTCAAAATGAAAAACCTGTGTGTTAGATTGTGGGTATAGTCACATCACAGAAGTGCTTTCTTTGTCCATAGAGGATGCGTATCATCCAAGGCAGTAACATAATTCTTAAAAAAAAAACTCATTTTAAAACATGGAAACACTTCAAAAACTAACACATGACTACTACACAAATTCAGATAAAAGTTAGAAGATAAAGTTCACCTATAATTATATTCACTAGCACTTACTAGCATTTTAAAGTCAACCCATCTACATTTACTTCTCAGCACACATATTTACTTAACAAATATGGAATCATATTGTATGTTTTATAACTTGCTTTCTGACCCTTATAATAGATGTGGACATCTTTCAGTAAATTATCATGTGGATTTAAATTTATTAATATGGATATATACACTATATTTTAATGAGTTTGTAGTATGCCAGTGATTTACTGTAAGCCCTAGTGGCTGACAATTAGATTATTCTGCAATGTATACCTGCAAATATAGACATGAAAAGGAACATCTTTGTGAAAGTAGATTTACTACATTTAAATTGTCAATTCAAGATAATTCATGATATGGAGACAGGAACTCACAATGCTCTACCTTAATCGATAATATGTGATTGAAATTAAACCGTTTAGAAGCCATTTCACCTGTAAATAGATGAGGAAATTTAATAGGCAGAATCACAGCCTCTTTAAGTGCTTCTTTGGCTCCTTCAAGACCAGCAACATCACTCCACTTCACATTTGGTCGCTCTATAACAATGGCACCTATGAAATATTGGGTCATCTTTAAATTGAGAAAGACTAGTTCAGCAAAGTTAGCAACATTTAAAAACCACACTGTTAAACTGTCTGTAAATGTTTTCAGTACTAAGACTTTTTTTTGAAGTAGTGTAATGAGGAAGCTGTCAGCAATCATTAGGAGGCAAGAACTTAAGTGGTTGGCTATGGACAAGACTCAATGCCTAAATTTCTGCTCCCTCATTAGTGAAATGAAAATAGAACTACCTGGCCAGACCACACAGACAGGTTAGCACAGGATCAGGTGACCCAGTGAGTATTAGAGCCATGTACTGGCTCTGGACAATCAATGTACTTCTTCAGTGGGGCTGGCTCACTATTTCTCTTGTTAACACTCTCCATTGAGTATACCAGACAGAATACACTTCAGTGATTTTTAACTAAAGTCAGAAAGACAGGAGACAAAATCAGAGGAAAGACAGAAGAGATGGAAATGAGAGAGGAACAGATAAGGGAAAAAAAAAAAGTGCGTCCTTAAAGACCTGCAATTCTTTCCTGAGATTTGCCACACTTTGTATCTGCCTTTAAACAGAATCATTTTTTTTAAATTAACAAAGTTACTTAAAAGAATGATTTAGTTTCTCAGAGCAGTACATTAAAAAACTATAAAACTATTACAGAGAGAGTCCAAGAAAAATATCCTGTAATTTATTAGACAAAACCTCGAGCTATTTTCATCAAATGCTTTTCCAACTTTCTAGTATACAGGAACTGCTTTACTATAAATCACTAAACACCCTAAGAAGATGAGAAGCAGGCACTCTGATGAGGAAGGGCTCAGTCAGCAAAGTACGAGCCATGAGGATCTGAGCTCAGATTCCCCAGCACCTATATCAAACTGTGGTGGTGCATATCTGTAACCTCAGCTCTGGAGGGGTGTGGGTGCAGAAACAGAAGAATCCCTGGAGGTCACTGGCTGCCAGCCAAGCTCAATTGATGAGCTCCAGGTTCAGTAACAGAACTTGTTGCAAAAACTACAATAGAATGATCTAGGAAGATACTCGAAGTCAACCTCTGGCCTCCATACACACGCACACACAAGAACATACACAAAAAGATGACAGGTAGTTGTTTAAACAGAACACAGACACCTCAATATACACGAATCACTGATCATGAAATCACTTTTAAACCCCATTTCTTGTTGTTAGGAAATATCACCTAAGAGTCTAAGCCCATACTTGGTAACTGAACTTGTCTAAAATATAAAAATCTTTAATTATTGGGCTAAAATTGAGTAAAACCATATTTTGCACCCTAAAAGTTCAGTTTGGTACAAAAAAGTCAATGTGCATTGTTTATGTTCCACTAAGATCAGCAATCTCACAATAAACAAAAAATGTACACCACAGAATAGGGCTTCATTTATCAAATGAAAGTAAATTCTCTTTATCCATGTATAACTCAAGATTTTCATGTAATCTAACTCCAAGAGAAGCTGGAGAAACAGTTTAGTTGGTAAGGAGCTTTTCAAACAAGTGTTGAGAACTGGAGCTAGGATTCCCAGCACCCACGCAAATGCCTGGTGGGTGTGTACCTGCATGTGATCCCAGCGTGTGGGGGATAGAGAGGATCTTTAGAACAAGCTGGCTAACTAGACTAGCTGAATCTGTGAACTCTGGGTTCAAGTGAGAGACTCTGCATCACTACACAGGTAGAAAATGCTCAAGAACACAATAATCACTCGCTTCTACACACACACCCTTCCCAACATGACACTCCGTGCTAACACACATGAACATGCATTTACATATGCATATACACCCTTCCCTCCTGCACCATGCATACATAATATACCGCCCCTCTCTCTTTTTTGGAGACAAGATCTCATTATGTATGTAGCTCTGGCTGTTTGGAACTCACTATGCAGATCAGGCTGGCCACGAAACTCATAGAGGTCTGTCTGTCTTGGCCTCTCAAGTCTTAGAGGACTAAAGACGTTCATCACTATGCTTATTTCCACATACAACTAATATTTTTATTAAAGTTTAAAGGTAACTTTGCAATATTTAGTTGTGAAAGATTAAGTGCCAAACAAAATTTAATGGTTTATAAAACTAAAAAGGCAGGATAGAATTACCCAAAAATATAAATCGACTACACTTCCAAGAATATGAGTGCACTGTTTATTATACTGTATATTGTATTTAAATATTTAAGGGCTGGTAAGATGACTCAGTAGATAAAGGCACTTGCTGCCAAGGCTGTGGATCCAAGTTTGATCTCCAGAACTGCATGAAAGAAGGACAAAACTGATTCCTGAAAGTTATCCTCCGACTTCCACACGTGCTGTGGTGCATACACGCACACACACATGCACACGTACACACACACACAAAATAATAAATGTAAAAAATAAAATCAAACAGACATTTAACCTTACAAGTCCCTGAATTAGCTAACAGAAAATTCAAACCATAATCCATCTTAATCCTAATAGTCATATATTAAATACCATAATCTAAAACACAAGTAAAATATTAAAATATTATTTTGGGAATAAAAAGTTTAAAAATGATAGTGTGGGTGTGTAGGTGTTCAGTCACACACACGTGTGTGTCTTGTGTGGAGCCAGAAGACAAGCTCAGATTTACTCCTCAGGAGTCATCCACCTTGTTTATGAGACATAAGCTCACTGGCCGAGATCTCATCTGTCAGACTGGGCTGGCAGGCCAGCATACCTGAGGGATCTGCCGAGCTTCACCTCCCAACACTAGGATTATGGATGTATGCTACTATGTCTGGCTTTAGTAGGTGAGTTCTCGGGGCTTGCACTCAGGTTCTCATGTTTGTGTGGTAAGCATTTTGCCGACTGAGCTATCTTCCCAGCCATAACAAAATAAAGATACTAATCCATTAACAACCATTAAATCAAACAATGGACAAAAGCCAGGCATGGTGGCACATACCTCTAATCCCAGAACTTGGGAGGTGGAGGTAGAAAGATGAGAAATTCCAGGTCATTCTCAGTTACATAAAAAATAAACAAAACCCTCATACGAAAGCCTAAAGCTCCATTCACACTCTATTTCATTCTGAGATTACAAAGGTTTCTACATCTAAATGTTGTTTCAGGATTTACAACTGATAGGAATTTACAAATATCTCTGTTAAAAACTCTAATTTTCAAAATTGAATATATGGTCTACTTTTCACTTGGGGTATGAGAATGGATAGGGAGAAAACAAACAGAACAAGCAAGGCAGCCAGGTGGTGGTGGCGCACACCTTTAATCCCAGAACTTGGGAGGCAGAGGCAGGCGGATCTCTGTGAGTTTGAGGCCAGCCTGGGCTACAGAGTGAGTTCCAGGAAAAAGCGCAAAGCTACACAGAGAAACCCTGTCGTGAAAAAACAAAAATCAAAAAACAAGCAAGGCAAACGGACAGGAAACGTTTCTTGCCTTTCAACTCAGAAGTCTATTTAGTGTAGATCAACTGACAGTTTGTACAGTGAGTGTCCTATCACTTTAGGCAGTGCAGGGCAGCAGGGTGAACTCAAAGTTCCCCAAGGGACAGTATTGATCTGCTACAGAAGTTCTTGTTGGCATATAAACAAAAATCAAAGCAACCCAACAACAAAATAACCCTGTTCTCAGGGGGATGGAGAGGTGGCTCAGTGGTTAAGAGAGCATTCTGTTCTTCCAGAGAAATCAAGTTTGGATCCACATCAGGCAATTTACAACCACCAGTCCAGGGAGATCGGACACCTTCTTCTGGCTTTTGTGGGTATCCACACACATGCAGCATCCACTCACACAGACAGACATATACACATAAAAAGAAAAGAATAAATCTAAAACAAAAACCTCTGTTCTCTACCATAATTAGTTATACAGTTTTCAACATACTATGTTTATAGTATTTTCTAACATATACCAGTGGAGTGGGTAAGACAGAAATATTACCAAAATGAGGGAAGTAGTATAGCAAGGTTAGAGAGACATCTGAGAACACAAACACACACACACACACACACACACACACACACACACTCGCTTTCCTTTCCCCTTTCCAGTAACCAAACCGAACCTACAAAATGAGAATCCTTTCTAGTTAAATATTTTATTAGGTAAGACTCAAAGGTGCAAATACGCGTACTACCAACTTGATTAAGCCTTTTATTTGAAAAGCCATTAGCTAACATACAAAAGAACAATCACATCTCAGCAATTAAAGAAACCAACAATTAAGTAGATGCCTTTTTAGATATTCTGAGCTACCATTCCTCCAGAATTTATTAAGATCCTTTTGCATTATCTTGCTTTCCTTTCCCTGGAAGAAATGTCCATTTTCAAGATGGGGACTCAGATTCTGAGAGGTTGGGGAACCTGCCCACAATCTGAAGGCTTTTAAGTGGCAGGTCTCAGAGTGGAGTCCAGATCTGTACTCATGGCCACTCCATTATGACACTCTACTTCAGGACAGCAGAATCAAAGAGTTTTGACATGTGTAGTAGAAAAAAAGAGAAAAGCAAACGTAATGAAATAAGCATATCTGTGAGCCAGGAACGTGGAGGAGAAAACAGGGAGAAAATGAAGCAGCAGGTCAACTGCAGCCATGGCAGCAGGATCATGTGATTCCTAATCCACTCAGTTCCTTGGGCCTCGAAGTGTGTTAATAATGTCAATGCTATCTATTTTACAAGGGACAAATATATGAAAAAGAGCAACTTGTAAAGGCAGGAATGAAAACAAACCATTTTTTCACTCCATTAAAAACAACAAAATATTAGCCTTGAGAGTAAATCCTAGTCTGGAACCAAGCCAGTATGTGACCCACCAGCAACCAAAGCCATTTTCTGAAACTCAATAAAATAGAGGGAAACAAAACAGTTCAAGCAGACAACCCATGAGTCTTCAATAAGAATAAATTTAAAAATGAAAACCAAAGTAACCTTGAAGTTGATTCTGTAGTTTCTTTTTTTCAGGATCATCAGATTCTGCTTCCCCATCACTGTCATTCCTAATGAAAAGAATTTAATATATGCAAAAGATCACTCACTGCTAATAAACAATGCAAAAGTGAAGGAAAGATAACCTGAAATGTTTAAGAAAAGACATTGACATTAAAAATTATTTTTATTGAAGTGTTTCAAATGACACTTTTAAAACAGGAAGCAGGCAAATGATCGGGAACTATGCATTGGTAATGGACAAGACCAGAATGAAGTCAGACACACCTCCATCCTCATGACATGCCCATGCATGTATGTACCCACAGGTTGTATGAAGGATTTAAAACAGAGTACAGTAAAGTTGTAAGCAACTACAAAAAAACATCAGGACCAGGCCAATACAGCTCAACAAGACCTGATGCTAGGAAGAAAAGGTACAGTACACAGTTATCTAAAATATACCCCTTCACCTGAGGTTCCCCCAAACTGATAAAGCTTCCTGGTGAATATCAAAGATAAATGGTCAACCCGTTTGTGCTGGTTAGTTTTTGCCAACTTGACAAAAACTGAGACTGCCCAGGAGGAGGGACTCTCACTGAGGAACCGCCTCCATCACGTTGGACTATGGGCACACCTGTGTGGTGCTCTCTCGATTACTAATTGATGTAGGAGGGCCCAGACCACTGTAGGCAGAGCCTCTGTGGGCAGCTGTGCTTGGGCGATACAAGAAAGAGGGCTGGGCAAGGGAGGGAAAGCATGCCAGTAAGCAGCACTCCGCCATCAGTCTCTCTGCGTCTCTCGGTGGTGGATTAGACCCTTTAACCTACATTAAACGCTTTCTCCCCATATTGCTTTTGCTCATGGTATTTTAGCAACAGAGAACTAGAACAGCACTATTTCACATCTAGGGATTTACGTTAAGGAGATAATTTTAAAATTTCACAAGGACAGTCACATCTACAGTACACTGAGGAAAAAACAAAAATAATTTATGTTCAGTTAAAGAGATTAGCCTTATGACAGAATACTCTACAGCTTTTGAAAACAATGTTATAGAAACAATGAATGGAAAATATTGATACAACGTTGGGTGAAAAGTGATACAGAGAAGAAAAGTCTTACCAACTATCAGGTTTTAATACACAAAGGATTTTAAAGACTTGATGGGACTGGTGCCAGTGTAGAAAAGCCTTGGTTATTTGTAGAATGGCAGGGTTATGGATGAAGGAACTACTGAGAGCTGAGTCACCGACATTCCAATCTCCTATTCAAGTTTCTCAGGCTGTCAAGACCACTTAAAACCAACTGCCCTCGGTAGGTTCCCTTGCAGACAGCCTTTATCCTCATCAGACTTGTGTTCCTGAAAGGTGAGGGTTGCTTGCATGAAGAACAAATCCTCAGGTAAGACCACTGGTTTGCCCTAAGGAAACTGAGGCAGAGGCCTTCCTGTGTGTGTATTTCTGAGCCCTAGGACTATTTGGTGGGGAAGGTGGCAGCAGCAAGTTCTCTTTTTGAACATAAAATACTATGTCCCCATACAGTATCCTGGGTAGTTTTTGTAATGATGGGAACTCAAGGTTGCTTCTCTGTCCTCAAAATTCTGTAAGGTAATCCCTATCAAATTAGCTACAGTCCAGACCCTTGTAACCAGGACTGTTATTTAGTACAGAAGAAAGACTGGCTCTCCCTTGTCAGGCGACCAATGCAGAGCAGATAAATTACAAGGTCCTCACTAACACTGCATGTGTCCCTGCAGACAGGGAAGATCAAATGTCCCTGCTGGCAGAAGTCTGTGAAATGTGGAGGCCTTGTAGGCTCATGATGAATATGAATATGCGCATTTCATGTTGGGAATTACTATAAAGAGAATATAAAATACTCTTGGCATGCCACTGAAACTCTGTTTTCTAACCATACCTTAACAGAGAACAGAAAACTCCGAGCTTATAATTTTCTTCAAACTCTGCCACAAAGTTTAAGGAAGTCAACTCTAAATTTTATCTCTCTCCTGTCCTTAAATTTGGCAATACCTAGTAAAGAGGCAAAATTTCATCAAGAACAATTATGGGGAGAGCACTGCCTACAGGGCTCCATCCCTCAGTCCCTCACGACCTTGGGCATCATGCAAGAAACTTGTACCCTGCAGAATATGAAGTCTGAGCATCATAGGCTCTAGAGCTCACCAGATCCTCAGTGCTTTAAACCCAGGCAGGCCATATCAACCTAGAATCTAATGTTTTCCTAATGTGTCATCTGGAACCATGCTGGCACCCATTCACAGAACCGTCAAGAGCAAATCTAGCTAGAGTATGTTCTCCCTGCTTAGCAGAGCTGGGAACGCATGCACTAAATGTACAGTAAATGCTCTTTATATTTGTGACACTTCTTGCATCTAGGAAGACATTCAAAAACGGGAGTTCAGTTTTAAAAAATCGTGCTGTTGCTTTCTTCACAATGACATAATACAAACCCTTTTTTTTTTTTGGACAGGGTTTCTCCATGTAGTTTTGGTGCCTGTCCTGGATCTCGCTCTGTAGACCAAGCTGGCCTCACACTCACAGAGATCTGCCTGCCTCTGCCTCCCTTAATGCTGGGATTAAAGACGTGCGCCACCTCCACCTGGCCGCAAACCAACATTTAAAAAAGCCTTTGCATAAAATAAAAATTATTGACATTATTGGAGTTCATTTTGTCCACAGGGGCAGACTTAATTCACAGATCACTCCTACTGACAGTCAGGGGTGTGTTGGTGCCATGCCCAGCATTTCAAGTAACATTCCCAGTTACTTGAAAACAGGGAGGTATAAAAATGCAGTAAGCAGAGATTAGCAAACTTTGGTCTTTGAAAGGCTTGATGGTAACTATTTCAGGTTTTGTGGCCACACAACCTGTACTGTAGCCACTCGACTCTGTTGTTACAGTATGAGCACTGCCCAGGATGACAGTATATGAACAGATATGCAAGGCTGTGTCTCAATAAAACTCAGTGACTGCAATAGGACACAAGCCCACTCTGGCCCATGACTCATGGTTGGAAAATTCCTGGCTTAGACCAAAGAAATCTATTACACAAATGAAAGGTCACAAGATATAAAATCTAACATGTTAGAATACATACCCCTTCTCATCAACTGGACCTGACTGGTCCTCTTTCACAGGCTTCTGTGGCTTCTTCTCTTTTTTCTTCAGATACTCCTTCAGTTTTTCTGCTCTATCAAGATATTCTGTACATTTGGCCCTGATACTTTGCTTGGCTTTATCACCTTGTGCTTCATCTACAGAAAGGAATGAGACACTATTTCATTAGCATTTGTTGTAGTTTGAATATGAAATGTGCCCACGGGCTCATGTACGCAAACACTTGGACCCCAGTGGGTGGTACTGCCTAGGAAGGTAGAGCCCTGCTGGAGGAACTATGTACTGCGGGTGGGCTCTGAGGCTTTATGATCTGGCTTCCTGTTCTCTAGTTTCCTATGTGTTGATGGGCTGTGACCAGTTAGCTTCCTGACTCCCAGGCTAGCCTCACACTTCTGCTACCATGCTTTTCTTGTGATGACAGGCAGAATCTCTTCTGGAACTGTATGTAAACCAGAATGAAGCCTTTTTTCCCCAACTTGTTTTCTGCCAGGGTATTCTATAGGGATATCAGAAAAGCAACTAATACAGTATTCAACAGAGAAAGGTTCAAACTTAGAGACAGTCTTTTAACTAGGAACTTCTATGTTGGAGGAGGGAGGAAAAGCATCTCTAATTCATTGTACCCTATGATTATCACCCTTTTCTGTTCCTTCCCGCTCAGGGTTGGAGGCCAAAACGGAGTGTAAATTTAAAAACAAACAAAACAAAAAAAAACCTCAGAGTAAAACGGTAGATATTTTAAGTTAATGTTATATAGTAAAAAAGTATTTAACAGTCTATAGGTTTCAAATCCTTCCCTTAACAGTTTGCAGAGAGTGAAAGCTGTTTGTCTTACAAAAAAACCAATCACAAGAGAGACAACACACAACTCTGAATTTAGAGTAGTGAGGCTGGGGGGGGGGCAGCTAGAAAAATGGAAGCTGGATTTGCTCTCTGTACACTGCATACATATGTTGATAGATAAAATTAATACAAGTGAATAAAAGTTTTAAAATATAAATGATAATCAGAAGTAAAGCAGTAGTCACTCCATCAACATCTTTGTCAGCTTTATTTAAAGTATACAAAGTGACAGAAATCACATACATTATGTAGACTAACAACATAGTAACCTTATTACATAAAGGCCTCTATTGTGGTTATTTTGAAATGTGGACTTGAATAATACAGGCAATGCATAGGATTATCCTCATGTCTCTTATGTGTTATATTTTATTTTCAATTTTTCTTTAGCATAACTCCTCCCCTCCACTTAAAAGGGAAAACTCAAATTAAAATAATCCAATGCACTGAGTGTAAGATTAGTGATGGATCTTACACATTTTCAATGCATTGTTGTGACTCTCCAGTTCACAAAATAGAGCCTGGTACACGATAAATATCAAGTATGCATTTGTAAGATACACTTAATAACTCCCAACCTATTTTTACGACAAAATCATTTCCAACATATGCTTAAGAAATTATTAAGTTCAAATCATATAATCTGGATAGGTTATCTATAAAACAAAGCTTTCTCCACTGAATACACAAAAAGATGCTGGGTGTATAAAGTAACAACTACAACAGCTGTCACATCTGTTAGCAGTACTTAAAAGGAGAAAAAGGACTTTATTTTTAATGGGTGGTTTAGATCTTTAGAATTCTCTTGGCTTTGTATTTCAATTTTTATAAATGTAACCATTTTTTCCCTTTTAGTGCACAAGTTTAAATAAAATAAAGCATGCCTTACACTTAACGACATGGAGAAAATACTGAACAGCATGTTGGTAGAGTTGAAGAGCTTCCTCATAGTTCCCAGCTTTGTCTTCCTGGGCTGCTTTGCTTGCAAGATCTATTGCTTTCTGTTTGAAGGAGGTAAAATAATAAATTTAATAAATCTTAAGTTTGAAGCAAATAATGCCTCCTCAACACACATAATGGGGGAGGCAAACAGATTAAATTAAATAAAAAGGAGCAATTAGGGAAATTCTCAAAAATTAAGTACTGCTGGACTGGAGACATGGCTCAGAGGTCAAGGGCACTGACTAGTCTTCCAGGTAACCAGGGTTTAATTCTCAACATCCACAATTCAGATCACAAATGTCTGTAACTCCAGTTCAAGGGACGTGACACCTTCTTCTGGCCTCTGTGGGCACCAGGCATACAAGGTACACAGATACACATGCAGACAGAACACCCCTACACATAAAATAAATTTAAAGCATTCGAAGAAACCTAGCACTGCTTTGCCTAAAGCATAAACATAATGCACAGAGACAAAACCTCAAGCAATGAGTTATCAAGACTCTGAAAAGTTCCTAAAACTATACTGAGCAAACACATTAAAAAACAAACAGTGTTGGGCAGTGGTGGCACACGCCTTTAATCCCAGCACTCAGGTGGCAGAGGCAGGCAGATCTCTGAGTTCAACATCCAGCCTGTTCCACAGAGCCTGTTCCAGGACATCTAGGGCTACACAGAAAAAACGCTGTCTCGAAAAAAGCAAACAAAAATAGTTTCACATCATAGAATATTAAATGAACATTAAAATAATACTAAAAACATTTTAGTAACATGAAAATTATTTATGACGGGCATTTTTTGATTATTTAACAAAGATGTATTTTCTACCTTTTCATATCTTCTGTGATGAGAACTACTGTAGAAATTAAAAAAGGAAGACCTTCCCAGAAACAGAGCCATAGAAACATAGCCAAAGGCTAACTAAAGTGATGCAGAACCAAGTCAACAATAGGAAAGCAGGATTTTAAAAATGGTACTGTAGCAAAAGGACATCCATGAGGGAACAAAAAAGGGAATCTTAACTTAAATCACATGTGTCTAGCAAAAGCTAACTCAAAATGAGCACAGACTTAAAAATGAAACTTATAGAAAAAAAAAAAAAAACAAAAACCAAAAAAATTCTTATATATAACATCAAAAGCACAGTGCATAAAATGAAAAGATGTTAATATGGAACATATCAATTTAAAAACATCTGTTCTCTAAAAGATTCTAATAAATAATGAAAAAACAGTATAGACTGGGAGAAATACTGTGAAACATCAGACAAAAGACAAACATCTACTAGACTGCATAAAGGGACCTGAAGACATAACAGTTTAAAAAGAATCCATTAATGGGCCAGTGAGATATCTTAGCAAATAAAGGGTCTTGCTACCCAGCTTGACTGATTCAAGAGACCCACACAGTAGAAGAGGACCCACTGTTCTTGCAATCTGTCCTGACACAGCACGTGCGCACACATACATTTTAAAAACAATCCAGTTAACTAATGGGGAAACATACATTTCATCAATGAGACTATAGATGGCATACCATCATAAGGCATTTGAATAAGGCAAATTAAAACCACAATGAAAAAGACCACACACCCATCACAATGGCTAAAAGTAAAAACAGTGACATCAATGCTGGAAAGGATGCTGAGAATGTTTAATGGTTTAGCAATTCTGGAAAATTGGTTTTCACTTACAGAACAAAGTATGTAACTAATATATAAACAAGCAAATGCACTCCTAAACAATCACTCAAAGAAAGGAAGACTTGTGTTCATACAAAAGCCTGTACATGAATGCATGTTCTAGATAGCCTTCAATGGTTTCACAGCTAAACAGTTAGATAAATACCATGGAACACTAGGCAGCAATAAAAAGGGATGGACTACTGCTATATAAGATTTGGACGAATCTTGAGGCTATTATGTTGATTGCAAAAAGCCAATGCTAATGGCTGCATAATGTTCTCAAACTGTCAAAAATCAGAGATGGGAAGTGATGAATTCTGCCAGGGAATTGGAAAATGAGTGAAAAAGGAAATGGAGGTTAAGTGTGGACATACGACCGACATGAAGGGTCCCTATAGAACTGTTCTAAAGGGCTGATTTCCAAATTTATTCCATTTTTATCACAACAATGTCCACATCATTCCTATGAAAAAAACTTTCCAGGTTTCTATAAGTATATACATTTGTTTTTGCTGTTATTTATCTCTGCCTCTCTGTCCCTCTCACTAGACCAAGTCAGAGGTTATATCTTCATTCACTTTTGTAAGCATCAGCATAGGGCTGGCATATGACCAAGTGACTTTATTACCCCAGGGTCAGCCAGGACCTAGCCATCAATATAAAGTACAAAGGTTCGGAAGATCTGAGATTGTTTTTTTCTGAGTAGATCATGGAGTATCCATCGTAGAAAATCCTAGGAAACAGCATCCAGACAAAGCAGTTCCAATGTTGTCTGCCAAGGTTGACTTTTTTTTTTCTCTACGCTCAGGAGTCCGTTTCCATCATACCCTTTGATGTTTACTCTATCAGTGACATACCACTGGACTGTTCTGCTCAACCCCTCCCTTTTTTAGTTGGGGCCCTCCCCTGAAGAAAAATGCATTTATGCTCTGTCTCAGACCAATAGATACAATATCCCATTAGTAACATACCAGCTTTCATGGGTTCCTAGACTTCTTGCTAGCTGCCATCTTAGCATCTCTATCTCCACAACGAAACCCTACAGCAAGCCCCAAGTTCATTTGGGTTTCTTGATCTCCTGTACCTGAAATGCTGTCTTCTGACTGTCAAAGCACATGCTCATCTAACTTCCTCTCTACAGTTCCTCCCTTCTTGCTGTCATTATTTTCCAGTGTCTTTGATATGCTACAAGGTCCTTGTTTTCTTCTCATTCTGTAAATTATTCAAGATGGGACTCTCTGTGTCCACCTTTATGCCAACTCCCATATCCTTATTTCTGGTATAGCCCCAAGCACGTATGTATGAAACACTCACTTGGCATTTCCAATTGTCTGTCTCAACAAACATTTCAAAATTTTAGTTCAGAACTCAATTTCTTTTTCTTCTCTCCATGCATGCTTGTCTTGTATCTTCAGAATCAACATATCCATTCTGATAGTCAACCCAGAACTCTTGTAGACAACCCAGACTGCGACTCCTTCTTTCTTACTTTTTAATTGAAGGCACAGACTGAACTATTTTCTTTCTTAAAATTTTCTTTGCACCATCCTTTTTTGGGCATTTAAAATAGGAACCACCCTAATTTGGCAAGTCACGACCTTCCACCACAGAGAACTCTATCTTGTAACTGGTCTCCTTTCATTCATACCGGTTACCAATCAGATTTGTTACTGTATGCAGATGGAAGTTTGATTCTGAAACAAAAGTGTGAAAATGCCACTCCACTGCTCATCCATGTACAGCAGAATGAGAACCTGCCATGGGATATAGCACACAAACTCCTGATGACAACCTGTTTTGATTCATGCTCCTTCCTTATACAGAGTTCCTGTCATATCAAATTGCTGGTACAACTCAAACCAACTAAGGCTATGTATGCACATAACACATATACAAAGAAGACCCTATGCCATTGTCTCCCTGTAAAATTCCAGCTTCTCAAGGCTTCAGTGCTAGTATGGCCCTCCTGGTACAACATACTCTCCAAAACTAAATGGCCTAGTACATACTTTCTGGATTCCTATGATCGCCTGTCCATGCTTCTAATGAATATACTGTGTTCTATCAGTTGCTTTCTGCTTTTATATAAGCCACTGGATTCGTGCAGACACAGGCACGCGCGCACGCACGCACACACACACACACACACACACACACACACACACGCACGCACATACACACGCACACGCACACGCACACGCACACACACACACACACACACACACACACACACACACACACACACACACAGACAAACAGGCAGGCAGACACCAATTCCCAAAAAAACAAAGTTTTATATGGACAACAAATATTTAGGACTGGGTCATCTTTGAGTTTTACTTCACATTCTTTTACTTGGAGTTTTCTGTATCTCTCTACACGGTTTTTTAAAATTATATTTCTGCATTTTTCTCTGCCTGGAAAGCATTCACCATTCTTATTCAAGGACCCCAAATTTGCAGCGAAAAGAAAATCAAAAGTTTGTAAGCACACAGACCTGGATTCAGAACTACCCTTTCAGCACACCACAACTTTGAGAAGGAAGCTCGAGTTTCCAATATCGAGAAACTGGAGTAGTGTTCACCCTGAAGAGCTGTTCTGAGGAGTTGATGAGATCACATCAAACTCTGAGGCAACTGGAGCTGGTGCTCATTTTATCTGAGATCACATCACCTCTTGGTGAATTTGTCCTCGGAAGAGTGAGCTACACCGTTCCTGGATGCTAACCCACACTAATCTCTAATTCTGTTATAGTATTTATGGAAATGTCTTGAAATTCTGTTTTTTGTTTAGTTATTTGCATCCTGCACTAGATTAAAAGCATCTGTCTTACAAAGACTTTTGCTTTGTCCCTTGCGAACACTACTCATTTAGCAGCTCTTTATGTAAATTTCCTAGGTTAGAAAGCTGAAAAGGCTGGTGGAGAAGAGCACACCTGAAACTACCGCTACCACAAGTGGAGTTCAACACCCTCTTCTTTACCATGCACATCCCTCTTTTTATCACTCACATCGATACTTTAATATTTGTCTGTTTCCATCTGGCTCACTGAAGAACATCTAGCAATTCAATTCAAACAATACATTCTGGTTATAGAATCAAACAAGTTGAAAAAGAAGATGAGTATTACAGAAGAAATCACCTTTAATATCCAAAGGAAAGCCTTTACCAATAAACAAATACATTCACAAAAAAACAAAACAGCAAAGACAAAACCAACAAAAAAGCCCCTAACCCCCAAAACTAACCAAACAAAAACAAACAAAAAGGCCCAGCATTTTCTGAATAGGGTTACAAAAACTTGGTAGAAAAGATAAACATCCACATCCACAGCAAACTCACTCAATTCTTAGAAATAAGCCATGGTTGCAATTAGGCTTTACTAAAGAGATCAAACATTTTCATCTTTTAGGCCGGATTTCCAGATAAGAGCACCACACAAGCCTCTCCTCCCATTCTTTGTGTGTACTGTTTAAATGGCCCTCCTTTAGGTGGAATTTCTTCAGAATCAATTATCCTACGTTAAGGAAATAAGTTTACATTATCATCGCTGCTTAGATCGAACACTCCAACAAATACCTACCTGGCAAACTACAAAAGACCGATATTGAAGGGTATTTGGTTCTACTCTGGTAACTAACCTACTGGGCTAGAAGTCTTGGATACCAAGCCAGGTGCAATACCCACTGACAATCCCATGATGGGAGACGGTGTTACATTCTCATGTCGTTCCACGAAGAAGCAATAATCTTTCCTAACATTAGCTGTCTTAGGAACCCAAAATTTACGTACAAAACACTTTTGTGTGTGTTTGTGTGTGTGTGTGGGGGGGGGGTGAGGGCAGGAAAGGGAAGATAGAGATTAAAATACTCCCCGGTCTTAAATAATGTAATCTGGGAGAACGTACATAAAAACATTCTGAATGAATTCTTGGGGGTGGTGTGTTGGCCGCTCCAACCTCAGGTTCTTGGGCTATTCTCGTATTTCTATTCACTTGGAAGAGCTTTGTTTATCAACATGAGAAACCACGACTACCCTACTCTAAACTGTCCAGAGAAATGCTTTGCAAAAATTATGCTTTTCCTTTCTTCCTGGTAGAGACACCGGAGATCTTCCTGATTGGAGAGATCCGCCCAGTTCGGCCCAAACTGGTTTGTTTTCCAATGACACAAGCAAATCAGGAGCCCCACAGACGGTGAGGCTGAGGGGATGACAAGGCCAGGCCATCTGGGGAGCGCCCCTTCTCCCAATCAGGGTCTGCGCGGCCCCGCCTTCCCGGGCCGGGGCCGGGGCCGGGGCGCAGCCGGGGCGCAGCCGCGTCTCCGCTCGCCACCCCGCCCTTCCCCGCACCTCCCCCGGGCCCGGCCCGGCTACCTGGAGGTTGGTGTTCGTGGACGCCATGGTGGAGGTGCGAGGCGGGTCCGTGCGGAGGAACGCGGGGCGAGCACCGCGGGCAGCAGCACCGAGTCGCGCCCGGGTCACAGTCGCAGTCCTCCGGGTGCGGGTGGCTCCGAAACCCGAGCCGCCGCCTCGGCGCGAGAGCGGTAAACCTGCCAGGAACTCCGCCAGCCACCCGACCCTCCTCAGAAAACTTCCGCAATCCCGAGCCCTCTGGGGCTCTGGTCCCGCCTCTGGTCCCGCCTCTGGCCCGGCACTTCCGCTTCGTCATCCGCACGCGCGCTCGCCAGTCACCCAGGATGCGTCTCTCCACAGACGGAGCTCTCGCGAGATGAGAACAGGAAGCCGTGATGCCAAGCCAGGCTCGGCGGAAGTCGGGCTGAACGCCAGCGAATTCCGTCTGGAAGGGTGGGGCGGTCTGCAGCGTTCCGGCTAATGCAGTCACGGGAGAGTGACACTTCTTTACATTTTCTTTTTCGCAGGCGTTTTTATTCTCCGTGAGGAGGTAATAGGTCGTCCCTCTTTGCTCCTCGTCCGTGTGTGTTGTCGCTCTTTTGGCTTTGTGGGGGAATAAAAAGTTACCTAGCTTCTGAAGCCCATGGTTTGAGGACGTTGGGCTCGTTTTTGTTCCGGTTCCCTCAAGTTTCCTTGTCTATGGTATGTGTCAATAATGTCCGTTGTCGTGGGAGGTGATGCGCCCTAGTCAGTACGGTAATCGGCGAGCAGTAAGCCCTCAGGCATCCGGGCTATGGCGCGGTCGCGCTTTGCCGCGCCCACCTGCTCAGCTAGCCGGGGGAAGCTTTGGAAGGATTTATGTAAATGTGCTGTGCGCAGCCTCTGCCCCTGCGCCTTCGATATGGCGGGGAAGCAGTCTGCTGAAACTTGTCTTGCAGAACGAGTAGGTAAAATACCAGTTACAGTTTGCAGAGGAAGTCATAAGAAGGGTAAGTGCTTGAGTGGCATCGCGCATATCAAGATTAGTGACAAAAATGAAATACTTCTTTTTCTCAGTCCACTGCACAATCCCCATTTTCGTTATTTATGGCTAAGCTTCTTAGAGCAGAGCAGAATAGGTGTTTAATCGCGCCATAATTGTATTTCCTATGAATACACTTAACCCCTATCGTATCGTAAGTACTGACTTTCCCTCTTTAAGGGCATGGTCAACCACCCTTGAAGTTGCCCTTTTGTAGATCCCTAATGTTCCTCTACATTTTCCACTGACTGCTCTTCACCCTCCTCTAGGTACAGAATTTTCTAAAGTCCTATCTTCTCACTACACCTCAGTCATCCGCCTACTGAAGGTGTCCACAGACAGAAATGACTTCAAATCAAGATTTTGAAGCCCACTCTGCCCTCTCCCTTGCATTTGCTATGCCCTTCCCAAGATCCGTTCACAGGGTTTTCCTTGCTGCAAGACAAATTCAACACTTTGAAAGCCAAATTAATTATCTTCCACCACAAATTTCCTTCTTTGGTTTCTCTCCGGCATCAGCAAACCTGCAGCATTCAGGCTGAAGACTCAGAGTTCACCCTCTGCCCTGTCATTTAGTCCTTGCTTCTCAACTCTTCTCTCTCAGTAAAGTGATAGGAACACAACCTTAGAATGCAGGGCATTTGATAATTGATTGCTGAAAATCAGCTATTGGCTCCCAGTGATTGTCAGATAAATCTGACTTCCTGAAAATACGACCAGACACTTACCTTTCAGTTACATCCCTGAAATAATTTTCCTTGTGTGCGTCGATGCGGGTTGAATCCAAGAGCCCTTTGCCTTAAGCTTCTATAAATGAGCTGTACCCTCAGCCCTTCAGCCCCTAAACACTTAGTGAAACTAAACACAAATGCTAAGTAGGCATCAACACACTGGAGATGCATGTTCTTGCTACTTAGAATCTAAATGGTAGTGGAAGAGAGTTTAGACAGAAGATTCCATTGAGATGTGTTGAGTATTACCATGAGCCAGTCTGTTCCAGACACTGGATATCAAAATGTTCTCTCCATGTGCAGTGAGGAAGACACATTTTCTCTGTGATTTTATTCCTCCAATCCTATAACTCCAATCATTTATGAGAAAAAAACAAGAAAGTCCTTACAGGGTGTTTCTGCTTCTGTAAAATAAACAGAGCTCTATAAAAACATTAAGGTTACAGAAGACAGTGAACATCTGAGAAGCTGTCACAGATTGGAGACTATAAGGCATGGCAACTAAATGTGTGTGGGATTCTTGACTGAATTCTGGTCCAGAAAAAGGACATTAATTAAAATTGATAAAAGTAAGAGAAAAACAGCTCAGCTAATGTATTTTTTATCAACATCTTGGTTATTTAAGATGCTAGTAGAGGAAGCTGGGTGACAAGTATATTGGAATTCTCTGTATTTGCAACTCTTCTGCAAACATTTCAAAGTAAGTTTTTCTTTTTGAAATTACTGCTATATGGTCCTTACATTCTAGCACAGTAGAAACTGCATATTGTGTATATAAAATGTAAAGGGAGTCTTCATCCCTACTGACCAGTGTTCGTGGTTCTAGAAGGTATTCTGCACACTACCAGAGAAGAAAGGTGACCATCAACCCCGCTAGAAACCCTGAGGTCTACAAAGGTGACCTGTCTGCAGATATGCTAGTGCACAAATGTGGGAACAACCAACTGTAGCTAAAGTTTTCCTGCCTGGCCCACAGCCGTCAGACCCAACCAAGTAAACACAGAGACTTATATTGGTTACAAACTGTATGGCCGTGGCAGGCTTCTTGCTAACTGTTCTTACAGCTTAAATTAATCCATTTCCATTAATCTATACCATGCCACATGGCTCGTGGCTTACCAGCATCTTCACATGAGGCTTGTCATCATGGCGGCTGGCAGTGTCTCTCTGACTCAGCCTTCCACTTCCCAGCTCTATTCTCCTCCTTGTCCCGCCTATACTTCCTGCCTGGCCACGGGCCAATCAGTGATTTATTTATTGACCAATCAGCAACACATTTGACATACAGACCATCCCACAGCAACCAACCAATCTCTGATTGGGTTTTAGACCCCCTCAACGAGATGGAACCTAAGCTTGACACTGCTTGGGTGGCTGTGAACTTTAGTCTGGATAACCCATGGGCTTAGGAGAAAAGCAAATACTGTTGTTCTGATAAAGAATGACTCTTAACGAGCGACATTCTGCCATACCCATAGATCCGTGCTTCACTCACTCATCATCAGAGCAGCTTCCTCTTGTAGTAGATAGGAACTAACACAGAGACCTACAGCTGGACAGTGTGCAGAGTGAGAGACCTTGTAACACTGTCTTAAAAGGGATGCCTCCATCACACCCTCCCGTCAGGGCTCAGGAGCTATTCAGAAGAGGAGGAGAAAAGGCTCCTATGAGCCAAAGGGTTTGAATGACTCCAAGGAAACAGGCATTTCCATACACAAGAAGACTGATGCACCTGAAAACTCAGAGACTGGCAGCATGGACAGGGTTCAAGTCAAATGGGACCCGACCCATAACCAAGAAGCTATCTGTAATTGACACCCACTTGCAAAGGGAAAATTAAATTTCTCCAATGGAGTCTCATTGGGTATACAAACCACACTTAGGGGTAGGCTCCGTGCCAACACAAAACAAACTCAATGGTATTTTTGTAGGCTGTCTCATATTGCTTTGTTTTGTTTTGTTTTTTTTTTCTTCTGTTCTTTTGCCCATATATTATAGTTTCTAATCTTGTGTCTCTATGGGATGTGTGTATCTTTGTGTTCTTTTTTTCTGCTGGTTTTTCTGAAGAGAAAGAAAGAGCATAGATGTAGGTGGGTAGGGAGGTAGAAGAGATCTGGGAGGAGTTGGGAAATGGGAAATCTTGATTAGGATATATTGTATGAAAACCTTTTCAATAAAAAATAAAATGGAAGTGGAAATTTTTTTATATGTATAACAGTTTACAAAATACTTCTGCATACATTTTACCTTACTGGATTCTGTGAGGGATGGTGTGAATGTCCTGGCTGGTTTTGTGTGTCAACTTGACACAAGCTAGAGCCATTAAAGAGGAAGGAGCCTCAGTTGAGGCAATTCCTCCATGAGATCCAGCTCTATGGCCTTTTCTCAATTAGTGATCTATGTGTGTGTGTGTGGGGGGGGGAGCAGCTCATGGTGGGTGGTGCCATTGCTGGGCTAGCGGTCCTGGATTCTATAAGAAAGCTGGCTGAGCAAGCCATGGGAAGCAAGTCGGTACGCAGCATCCCTCCATGGCTCCTGCATCAGCTCCTGCCCCCAGGATCCTGCCCTGTTTGAGTTCTGGTCTTGACTTCCTTCAGTGATGAAAAGCAATGTGGAAGTGTAAGCTGAATAAACCCATTCCTCCCCAACTTTGCTTTTCGGTCATGGTGTTTGTTGCATCAACAGAAACCCTAACTAAGATAGTAAGTGTCCAGTTTTTATACATAAGCTAATCTGGTGATCAAGAAGACACTTGAAGAGCTGGAGAATGAGCTGAGGTCACCTATCCTCAGGGGCAATCTCATCTGAGAACTGTGACAAGTGAGTAGAGGCTGAATGAACCATGGCATTGGAGAGGGCTCAATTCTGATTATTTGGATAGGGGATGCCTTAGGGAAGTGTCATTTGAACTGAATCTCAAATTCTTAAATTGATTTCCACAGACCAGGCCATTTCAGGCAGCAATCAAAACAGAATAAACGCATAGATGAAAGCCATCCAACATGTTTATGGGAGGCTGGCATACAGGAAGCAGAAGCACTTTGGAGAAAGTAGCAGGAAATGAAGCTGAAAAATGTACCAGTAGGCACTGCCAGGTGCTCAGGGCTTTGTGTATTAGGCTTTTCCTGCAACCAGTAGGGTTTGTGGAAGCCCAGCATTGTTCCTTCTAGACTCTGGTGAAGTTGTGATTGGTGGGATATTGGCTTTATGAAGATGGATTTGAATATCTGTTGTAGAATGAATCAAGAGAAAGCAGGTGATAGGATCATGTAAGAAGCGTCTTGCTTCTACACTTTAGGAGACAGGGCACGGAGCCAACAGGATACTCCCCATTCCTAGAGCACACAAAGCTTACTTCCTGCCTCATGGGCTTTGGTTAATAGTAGATCATTTTCTTCAATTGCT